ATATATATATAATATATATATATATATAGGCATAGCTGTTGTTGACCCTTTTCTGTATACGTTGGCCGTCTTGCTGTCCTTGTTTTGTGCATTTTTGTCTTTTCTTTCTTTCCTTTGTTCATTTAAATTGTTTTTTTCCTTTGCGTCTTGTGTATAGGTTTGGGTAAGACGATCCAGACCTTATGCTTTCTTTCCTACCTGAGCGCCATGAAGGTCGACGGCCCGCACCTAATTGTTGTTCCGCTTTCCACTGTCGGCAATTGGCTGCACGAAATTCACCGCTTTACTCCTTCTCTTACACACATTAAGATTTGCGGCTCCCGAAACGAACGCCAACACGCCATGCAAGATCGCTGTGAGTTGCAGTGTTTTTCTTGTTGTTGTTTGTTTGTTCTTGTTTTTTTTTTTTTATATATCTTTTTTGGCGGTGATGGTGGTTTTATTCGTGTTTGTTGCATAGGGGCTAGATGGCCGACGAGGCCTTTTCGTTTACTCGTTCATGCCGGTGCGTTTTGTCGATGCCGATGGCTGTTTAAGGAATTTGTACATTTTGTGCTTTTTTTTTCTTCTCAGTGGCGGCAAAGGGTCTTTATGACTTGTACGTCACAACCTATGAGACAGTGAAGAGCGAAGAGGAATTCTTCGTCGAGCAAATTCCCCATTGGCAGTGTATTGTCCTAGGTACGTCAAGGGTTTGGGTTCTGTTGCCACCCCCTAGGGATGTAATCATGGACTAGATGATGTTAGATCGGCTTGATTCTTTCCTTGTTGTGTATTTATTTATTTGTCTATTCACTGATGTCTCTGTTTCCTTTTTTTGCAGATGAAGCTCATCGTATAAAGAACGCTTCCGGGGCAATTCGACACTCGCTTGATCGAGTGCAGGGGAATATGCGGCTTCTGCTTACGGGTACCCCGTTACAGAACAACGCACAGGAGTTGTTTACTCTCATCAACTTCCTTATGCCTGATGTTTTCAGGGATTCTCTCGTCATTGAACAGGTAATCACCGTTTCCTCTTGTTTTGCCCCAGTGGCGTTGCTTGGTTGTTGTGTCTTTGGTTTCCTTCGACCAAGTGGATTTTTTCTGTGCCCGTTAGCACCAGCATCTCCCCGTATCACATTGGTCGTTTATTCAGCACACTGTGCCTCTCCCCAGCTTCTCGTGAAGGATCTGGTGTCCTCGTTGTTTGTGTTCATCTCTCCTTGTGTTTTTCACAGGCCTTCGCGCAGAACGCCAAGTCCGCAGCCGGGAAGTCGGGTGGCAAGCAGCCCCGTGGGCGTTCAAAAGCGGCGGCATTGGCGGAGATGGATGTGGATACGATGTTTAAACAGGAGGATTTGAACAAGATACGGCAGCTGTTAGACCGCGTCATGTTGCGGCGTCTCAAGGAACAGGCCATTGCTTTGCCGCGAAAGGTCTTCCATGATATTTGGCTGCCAATTTCCGATTTGAGCGCAAAGTGGTATCGCAGACTCCTTGAAATCAAATCCCTTCAGGAGGAAGCCCGTTCTAACTCCGCCAGAGTCAACTTCAGAAAGATGCTCGGGCTCGTCATCAAGATGCGAATCTTGTGGTGCGTCAGTGGGTGATGCTTTTTGCTGTCTTAGGGGGACATCTATGCGATTTTCTTTGAGTACATGTTGAAACTATTTAACGAGTGCGGAAATTGTTCAGAAAACGGTGTATGGTATTCATGCTGTGGACTCTTGTGTTGGATGAACAACGTAGCATGATGTACTCACATTTGCGTGTATTTTCAGCGCTCACCCCAAAGGCGTTTGTGCAAGGGAGTCGCAACTGCAGCGATTGCAGGCTTTCTTTAGCCAAGAAGACCCAGCGCTTCAGGAAGAGGTGACAAAGGCAGCTAGGGAGTTGCAGGCCGTTGAAGGCGCGGCGCACCTCGCAGGCTCCTCGAAGTTGCTGTTTTTGGACAAATTGATGTGCCACTTGCATTTCTTGAACTGCAAATATGTGCCGGCCTACGAGGTGAGGGAGACCCCTCCGTGCCCTTCTTTCTTTTTGTTCGGAGCTGTTTCTATCATGCCCAGCCGTAGGCAACATTTTTACTTTGAAGGACATCAGAAATAGCACAGCGTGTTGCCATGTCTACGTAACTGTCGTATGCGTGCGGACGAGCTTTTCGCTATAGTATATGTTGCTGCTGTTTTGCGGTGTACACCTCAGAGGGACTACATGGCTCACAAGAACGACGCGGCCACTTACGAGTTTTACAAGCGGCATGAGGAGGCGGTACTGACGGCGTTGGCAGAGGGGAGAAAACCCCCACGACGACCGAAGCGCAGCGAACTGATCGGCATTCCCGAGTATAGGGCGTTGTTGGAGAGGGGTATGCCGAACAGAGACCTGACAACAGCGAGGGATGAGTCGTTTCTTAAGGAGGGGCTCTTCGCTGCTGAACCCGTGATGCCAACGAAGGATTCATGTAACCCCGAACTGCAGGAACGAAAGAGAGGTCAGGGAGAAGATGATGACGTATCGGATAACGAGGGAGTAGGCAAACGGAAACAAGAACCCGCAGATGCAGACGTATCAGATGCAGATGCTGTGGCCGCACAAACGTCTGCAGAGGATCAGCCTCGCAGCAGGACCGAGCGGCGCGCCCGACGAAACCTGATTGTGGACGACGATGATCTGGTGCCGGTAGACAGCGGTGCATCCGCAGCAGCAGGACAATCCCAGGAAGGAGCAGCGGGAGGGGCAACGGACGTCGCACCTTCAACACCAACAGCTCCAGCTGGTCAGGAGGCAGGAGGGGAGACCGAAACTGCAGCAATGGCTGTGAAGAGTCCTGAAGAGAAGCGCGAAGGCGATGACAAGAGTAACTTGCCCACAGCCTGTTGCACAGGGAGCCCGGCAAGTCACAAGGACCACAAGGAGGGTGTAGATTCCCTTGAAGGGCAGCCTGTGAAGGCTGAGCCCATCGTTGCTGCAGCTTCTCAAGCACAGGCAGACGATACCAAGAGGGAAGTACTTGTCGCAACGACACCAGCCGCTGCAGGAGCAACAGCACCAGTTCAGGGCACTGAGGGCCAGACAAAGGCAGAATCGTCGCCAGACAGTGATCGCAGCGATCTAAAGAGCAACGGGGGAGATAAAGCAGCAAAAAGCGAGGCTGCCAACACTCCCAGGGTTCAGCGGCTTTTGATTTTCACGCAGTTTCAGTTGGTTTTAGATGAGCTCGAGGCGTATTGCAAATACAGGGGCTGGCGCTATCTTCGGTAAGGCAGCACAGCAGATCCCTTTGTGCCGTTGTCTGTTACTCAGGAGATTCTGCTTGCTCACCTCCCGTCATCGGGCACTTTCCCCTTCCTTGGAATGTTATGATGTGTCTCCATGCGGGTTCTCATTGTCTTCGGGGCTCTTCGTGTGCTGCAGTTTTTGCATGCACGGTGGCGTGGTCTGTTTCTTGTGGGTGCTTGCTTTCTTAGGCTGGACGGGTCCACGAACAAGTTTGTGCGGGAGTTAGACATTCGGGACTTCAACAATGACAACACATGTTACTTCGTCTATTTAATATCCACAAGGGCTGGGGGCTTAGGCATTAACCTCACTGCGGCGAACCACGTGGTGATATACGACCACGACTGGAATCCGTTCATTGATCTTCAGGCCGTCGACAGGTAAACTAGAACCGTTGCCTGGTTCGTCTGTCAGGCGCGTACTCTTTTGCTTGTCTTTAGTCTACCCTGCAGCTAGTATTTCTAATGACAATGTTCCAAGGCTTTTCATCCGTCACAGTAGTGCCGTACAATGGTAGGGCCTGTGGCAAAGTGGTGTAGAGGATGTATTGAGACGTTTTTTTCCTAGAGTAGTGCTTGCTGTGAATTAGACCCGGAAACAATGAGCTATCGACAAGCCCTTAATGCTCTTGCGGTTTTTGTTACTTCCCTGCAGAGCGCACCGCATCGGGCAGCAACGGGAAGTGCACGTTTGGTCATTGGTGAGCGAGTGGACTGTGGAGGAGCGGATGGCGTTTCGTCGGGAGCAGAAGCTGCGCCTGGACAAGTTGCTGGTGCAGCAGCAGGTAGAGGAAGAGGCGGATGCACTAGACGGCGAGGAAGGCGAAGACATCAAGGAACATAGATCCGAGAAAATATCAACTGATGAAGTCCGAAGGCTTATGCTCCACGGCAAAAAGGCAATTGTTGTACGCAACGCACAGCCACATTGATCTCCGATTCAATTTTTGCTACAACTTGAAACTGTAGCTGCAGTCTAGCCTCGATAATAATTCATTTCATGTTTATGTTCAGCATATCAGCATATTTGAGCAACACTTTGTGTTGTTTTGCCCCTTGTGTTTGCAGCAAATGGCGTCAACGGGTACTGAGGACATCGCCAATCTGTGTTTGGAGGATTTGGTTTCGCGTGCTAGGCAGCCGCTACCTGTGCTTGGGGAGGACGAGGAGCCGTTGGTTTTGGAGGGTTCGGCGTCGTTCGAGGAGGACATGGACGAGAAAAACTTGGTCGACATCAACGAGGTGATGGATGAAGAGGCCGAAGAGCGGCGCAACCAGCAGCAGCTGGCCGAGGGCACAGAGGAGCCGGCAGCGCCAGAGGGGCCGTGTGAAGGTGGTGTAGGTAAACCCTCCACCGAAGGGGAGGAGGCAAAGCCCAGCGGGAGCACTTCTCCCGGAGGGGGAGCTGAAGAGGAGGTAGAGGTCTGCGAGGCGCCGACCACAGCAGGAAGTGGCACCAAGGGAGGCCTTGAGGCGGAGCTGCAGAGCGCAGGAGTCTTGTGGCGCTCCGGAAGAGAGCGCAAAAAGCCTGTGGCCCTTTACGTGCCTCAGGAGTTCACGCAGAGGTGAGTAGCGGTATATCTACTTTGCTACCGCGTGGTGTTTTGACATCGTCTTTTGAATACGTCGCTTGGTCCCGCGTCAGTTCTTCTAAATTCGAATTCCCCCGTAGTGGCCTTGCCAGTTGGGTCTGTGTGCTACTGTGTGTGCGCTATGCCTCAGAGAGGAGCGACGGAAGCTGCGTCACGAGACGCGGTGCTTTGTGTGCGGCAACGGAAAGGATCACGTACAGAGCTCGGTGGACCGAGAGGGGAAACCGGTGGAGGTGGCGTATGGTGATTTGGTGTGCTGCAGCGGCTGCCCGAAGGTGTATCACCGTTGCTGCGAAGGCCTGCCCAAAGATGTCAAGAAAAGCTGGCGTTGTCGTTGGCACGAGTGTTGCTTGTGCTTCCGCAAGACGTCGCAGTGCGGCAACATGCTCATTCATTGCGCCCGCTGCCCAACCTCCTTTTGCTACGATTGCTTTCCTCCAGACTACTGCCGTTATAACGTAGGCGAGGACTACTACATGCAGCTTCGACAGCGGGGCATGAACGTAACTCCGCATAACTGGATTTTGCTTCTATGCTCAAAGTGCAAAGCTGTAGAGGAGCAGCAAACGCGAAGACGGCTGACGAAGGAGGAGAAAGATCACGAGAAGTTGATGCAGCAAGAGCTGCGGCAGCAACAGCGACAACTGCATCTAGACGGTGCGAGATTGCGGCTTGAAAAGGATGAAATGAAACATTTGCAACGCCAGAGGGCAGAGGAGGAGCGGCGCCTGTTTGATCGTAAGCAAGCTGTTGATAGGCTGGATGAGGCGGCAGAGATCTCATTGAGACAGGCGTACCAACGGCTTTTCCCTGAAGCCTTCCTTGCGGAGATCGAGAAGAGATCGGCCGCAGCAAAAGCAGCACAGAGAGCTTCCCGAGAGGCTGCTGTAGCCGAGGCGATGAATGCTGCTGCTGCTGCGGGAGCCGATGGGCAAGCTGCCCTGGCGTCAGCAGCAGCTGCAGCGATAAAGAAGGCGTCGAAGAAACCGACGAACCAACTGGCGAACATGAAGCTTCCCTCTCAGAGTCTTTCGGTTTGTGACAACTGTCGCTTCCCTTGCCATGGCGTCAAGGAGTACCCAGGCCCGTGCTGCTTTCCAGATGAAGTCATCCAAAAATTCGTGGCTCGCGCGAGGCCAGCCTCGCAGTCCGAACCGAACTCAGGAGGGGGAGGCGCAGGAGCAGCAGGGGGAGCAGACGGTGTTATAGAACTGGACGCCTCTCCTGGAGAGGGCGGAACGGCGAAAGAGGGTTCCGATGCATCTGCTTCTCCTGGCATTCCACAGAGTGCATTGAGAGCGCTTGCGAGCTCAGCCGCCTTGCTGCAGGGCGGGTTTCCGGATGCGGGAGGGTCTGCTTCGGCAACTGCAGCAGCCGCAGCTGCTGCTGCAGGCTGTGATCAGAGAGTGAAGTACATGCAACGGCAAGTCTGTGCGGCGTGCCATGAGTGGCGGATTGGGAAGCGGTCCCACACACGAAAGCACTGTCTGACGCTCACGGCAGAGCAACGCCAGGAGGTAAGGCTTGATGTTCGCGATTCCCCCAATCTCTTTTTTGTCCTTCATTGCACTGTGATAGATCGTCCTGTACGAAACTCACCGAAGCTGCTATGTCTTGTGTGTTCCTTGTTGCAGTATGATGAACGGCGAGCTAAAATGCTTCTTGTCGCGGAGTTGCTGCGTACGAAGGATCCCATCCCCGACGCAAACCCGGGTGCATACCCATCGGCATCTCCTCAGCGACTCAAAGCATTCTTCCAGCAGTACCAGGAAGCGGTGAGGCATTGCTTCTTCACAGTTTTTCTTCTGTCGCTGTTTTGTTTATAGTATGCATTTTATCGCACATTGTGTTTTGTTTGTTGCTGCGCGTGAAAACGATATGGCATCGTCTGCACCGTTTTTCAGTTTAGGGTTTAGTGTTTGGGGTGGTGTGTTCCTCCTGTTGAAGAACAGCTTTTCCTGCGGTGTTCGACGAGTTTCTTAAGATGTTTTCTGTTCTTATTGGTTTGTTTATGTGTGCAACAGGCTGACCGAATATTGGAAGAATGTATGGTGGCTGCTGGTCTTCAGCACGCCATCGCTTCGCGTTTCACCTCAAGCAAGAAGGTCGTGCCGTCTCCCATTGGTCAAGCCCCTGTTGCAGCAGGCCAGGGATCCCAGAACAATGTACCATCGCTAAACAGCGTGGCTGCGAGTAAAGATCGCATTTCCATGATTTTGAACCGTAGCAAGGAGATGCTGCTCATGAAGCGGCATATGGAACTGCAAGTGTTGGCGACTCTTTCAGCCGCGAATGGACGAGGTCCTGGGCCGAATTTAGCTAACCTGAACAACGACCAGAAGAAACTTCTTGGTAGTTCAGGTGAAGGGGAGAAGCCGCTTATGACACCACCGTCAGACACCAACAGCGAAGTGGAAGTGATCGGAGTCTCAAGGGTGGGTGCGCCTACGGCAGACGTTTCGTCTGTTGCTCCAGGGGCGAACTGCGCCCCAACTGTTGCAGAAGCTGTCCCTACAGCTGCTGGTGCAGTTGCTGCGCCGGAAGGTGCAGTAAAGGCGGCTGTCGGTAAACGGCAAAGCGCTGATGCACCGAATAGCGGCGCCCGCGGCGCCACCGTTGCGGCACTTCCTGCCGCTTCGAAACGGCAACGAAGAACGGTACCCATCAAGACGGCAGATGCAGTGGCGGCGTATGTACAAGCAGCGGAAATGGGGGGCGGCTCTATTGCTGCATCAGCTGTAGCGGCGGCGGTGAAGCAGAAGCCGATTATTGAGTTTTTCAAGTCCAGGAACAAAGCGGCAGCCTCAGCTATTGGAGGGTTAACGAAGCAGCCCTTGCTAGCCGGGGCCGGAGGGCAAGGAGCCTCGCGTCCGGGAGGAATGGCTGGTGCAACTTTAGCCTCCTGGGGCCCTAAACCAGCCTCAGACACAGAGAGCGATTGATTCTTCTGCGCCGTCTCTTTTTGTGATGTAGACACGGGCAGCGAAGGAGACACATGAGTGGCTCCACATTCGACTTCGAGCTAGGTCTAGCGCCCTGTTGTATAGTATGTACTTACTCGGCGGCTCGCAAACCACCAACACGGGACGCTGAAGCACTAATTGAGGGACCGGTGCATGTCAATGACTGATTGGGGGCAACAACGCACAGGTTGGTTGCTCACATACCGTGCAGTGTTCGCCTTTGCCGCGTAGCCGCTCTCCCATGTGGCTGTGTGTGCCTGGTAGGGAGCCTTAAGGCAGCTTTTGCTTAATAGGGCACTCCGTCGCCTATCCCACACATGTCTCAGCAGCAGCAGTGTCCGCATGCTGTGTTTTGCATTGTGTTGGGGTGGCTGCTGTTGCTGTTCTTTCCTCTGGCGTTGGGCGCGCGAAGCGTTGTGGAAACACTACCCGTGAAGTTTCAGGGTAGTTGTTTTCGACTGCCGGTGCGCCTGCACATTACATGGTTTTCAAGTGGACGCTGAACTTGAAATGGGCCTGGCAGTGACCAGGATGTTTGCGGCCGCAGTGGCATTTCAATAATTAACTCATCACCGCTGCTTAGCCACGAGTTGCGCTGTTCAACTACGCTGCATTGCAGAAGAGCATCCCAAGTTGCTATCGCTTCCGTCTAGCGAGCTGCGCAGTCTACTCCTTCCCTCTGTGCATCGGTATAGGCAGAAGCAGCGAAGAGGTAACACGGTACTTTCCGAACGGTATGATGGTTGTTAGGACACTGCGCGTATCTCTGTCAGCACATCCCTGTTGATGCAATTTCGCTCAAGCCCATGTACAGCTGTCCATGCAGGAACAGGGTCGCCTTCTACAGGCGACACTGGCAGGGAACCCAGGCAAACAGCATCGGCTTATATATGCGCAAGGGTCAACAGAAGGCCAAACTGTAGCCATTCGCGATAGGAAACAACTCGAACGGGGCGCTTAAACCTTGAGCAGCGCACGCCTGCGGCAGGGGAGGTTCGACTTAGCCAGTTCGCCGAAGCAGTAGATCTAGGTATCGCTTTTTATGATACATTCCGGGCAAATGTTCTAAAGCAAAAGAGCTTAAGGGGAACTGCTCAGTACTGCGACGGCTATTTCTCTGAAGGCAGGCCTCGTAAGCTGTGGGTCTCCGCGTAATCACGACGGTGTTCAAAAGCAGACCATTGCAATTGGGTATTAAGCCCCACAACTGCAGGAAATGAATGCTTAGAAAACGGAACTGGTGCCTCATCCGACCACTTTGTTTCCCTGCACTCCCCAGTTGTCCCTCAGCAGAAGCAAACACCATTCATCTGGTGCCGCTCTTCCCCGCTCGTATCTAGCAGGTTGGCGGGTCGACCATGCACAGCTCACTCTCTCTGTCACATCTAGGACACATGCACATTCCAGATAACAGTTCGTATCTGTTCATATTATCGGATTCCAACTCAATACGTCCGTGGACGTACGCAACGCTAGCAGCTCCTACCTGCCTCCTTTGTTGCTGCAGGAGTACATGACGGGAGCTTGAACGGCGAATGCGAGATTTGCTTCAGTCACGTTTTTCACACAGCATTAAGATAGAGGGGGATCCGGGGATCACACAAGTTCTGTAGCTGGAGGGACACGCGGGGTGCGGGCACAGTGAACCAGGGCAATGGCATCGCAAAGTAACTAGGTTGGTACAAGCCCCATCAGACTCGGCTTATTCATGGCAATGCGTCAAAAAAACGGACTTAGAGCGTTCGTGTGCCTCGAGGCATGGAACGGTTCGGCGGTATGGGACCCAGACCCACGGCAGGGCCCCGCAGCCAATATGCGCGCAGGCAGCATATGCAACACCGGATAAAATCGAGAACAGAAGTGCTAGGCATCTCTTTTCCTATAATGTTTAATGTATACTAAGAAGCTGAGCTCCGGTGGAAGTGTCATTGACTCAATACCAGCGCGAGTCCATCAATAGCGAGCACCTGCGGGTCACCAGCCTTCAGGGCACGCGAATCCCAAGCAGCTAAACCCGCTTATTTCTAGGTATCAAGTATGTTTACAGCTGAACACTTAATAGCATTGCCGTCTATGTGAATTGAGAGTTCGTGGGTCAGCTAGAGTATTTATCTATGCTCAGGAGACGGTAGCGGCAGAGTCTCGCCACCTTGGTCTACAAACATTTGCACTTTGACTTAACAAGTCGAACGGGGAACAAAACGTGGTGTGTACAAGATTCTTCTAGACATACCCGTGCCTTCCACAACCCCAACTCGGGAGCATAGCAGTGTCTGAGCGCCCCAGATTATTACGATGATGTACCCACCGAGACAAATTGCACGCAGGGACCCCTGGACAACAACGTAAGCCACTCAGGAATTGTCGCTTCGTTGAGAACCAGCGAGGCTTACTCATAGAGTTCCTTCACCACTCGTTTCCAAAGCAACAATACTATCTCCCCATCCGTGCGGTCGCTCGGCCAGGGTCCACGCAACCTACCTCAAGCCTAGCCGCTTTATGGATGCTTCGCGCCAACAGAAGCTGCTACAACAGAAGAAAGAGGAGGAGAAAAATCACCACTTGGTCAAATTACAAACCATGACAGCAAAGGTTAGCTCCTTTCACTGCTTCACTGTGTAGCCCGAAGTGAAACGCAAATCGTAGTCTTGGTAACATCAGAGATCTGGGGGGCAAGTAGAAGGCCAGGATAGGTGCATTTGCCTGGCAACCGGCACCAACAACAAGGGTTTCACGCATTTTTTTCGATAAACAGGGCAGCTGCTGTTCCCAGAGCTTAGCCGTTTTTCTTGGAAGAGGCTGTAAGGACGTCTCTTGTCCAATTCGTTAATGTTAACTGGGAGTAGGCGTTTCACGTGGCTGTGCAGAGAGCAAACGGGTTGTCAAACCTGTCCTATAGCCGCGAAGCACCAGCAACGCAGGCGGAAGATTCCAGTTCTTCGACTTCACCGGACAAGCCTCTTGCCGCGTCAAATGTAACGGAAACACATATGTAAAGTGTTATTGATCCACTGTTGAGTTCAGAGCATAGTCGTTCTCCCTTGTCCCAATTGAGAAAGCTCATTTGCTGTTCAGCGACCGGGTAACAGCAGTCTCATATCAAATGGTATGAGCCAGACATTGTTGTCTCCTGCTCGCAAGTTCAGCGCAACTACTGTACAATGCAGAGATCCCATTCTCCTATTACACAACAACGATGCTGGTGGACGCATGTTCTGCCTAGGTTGAAGAAGGCACAGCAAAGAACACAGAAGAGCCTCTCCAAGGGGCGGAAGCGCTGTCACCAGGTGACGACGCTGCTCCGCTACAACACCGAAAGACTACAAAGGAGCTCACTGAAGAGTTCAAAAACTTAAATGTGAGGTTCCGCCAATTGAAACAGCACACACAAGTGCTGCACGTAAAGCCCCTTATCTTGGAAATGTGTGAAATTCCAGCGGCAGCAACATATGTGTTTAGCATGAACGATTCTGATTCTGAAAAGTCCTCCTGCCAATGGGCAGCGGTTCTTAGCGTGCCTGGGCACGCTCTGCACGTTTTTGCAGTGGGCAAAGGTGGATGAATATAACTCTTTCAAGGCGAAGTTAGAAGAGCAAGCATGCGCACAAGAGCGCCTTAGGAGAAAAAATTGGCTGCGAAACGAACTCGAGGCCCAACTTGAGGAGCAGCGGTGAGTGAGTTAGCAATTTCTAAAGGCAGGTTTCATTTGTACCTCCCCCCCTCGAATATTTTATGGGGGAAGTTGCAGCAGAAATTGGAATGAATGGCCTACTGCAGAACAGTAGGCCCCTAGTTGATGCTGAAGCTACTTTACGCACGCCACCGGCGATTGTGTTTCTGAAGGCGCCAAAAAGAGGCTGCAAAGCAAGATGACCTCGAATGCGCGAAGAAGCTTCAGCAGGACCTAGAACAGTGGAGGTTCGTCAATATTTCAAACGTAACTTTCTCTCAAGTATAATCTTAAGTTAAAGTAACTGCAGCGCATTGTGCTTCCGAGTTTAGGGAGCAGGAACGTGCAAAGCAGAAAGCTGCATATGAAAAGATGTTGCTTCAAAAGGAGGTTCTTGATGCGCAGATGCAAGAAAGGTATAAGCTTGAGGAAGTAAGTGGTTGCTCACCAATGGTGCGTGGTAGAACAACGGTAGCAAAACAAGGGTAAATCGGGGTGTTCCAGTATGCTGGAGGCTCCCAAAATTGTAAAAAGCAGAAAGTCATATGTTAAACCTGTACAGGAATCCAAAGCGGAACAGTTGCGGGAAAGTCGTGAAATCCTTGAACAGGTCTCAAGGGACATCGAAACTGAGAAACGGATGGCTTTGAAAGCAAAACAGCAAAAGGCTCGTGCTATGCAGGAAATCTTGGAAGTTAGTTCTCTGCAGTGTTAGTAGTAGTAGGTTGTGGTAGTAGTAGTAGTCGTGGTAGCTTGCCTTGTCACCCACACCACACACAGTGCTCTCCATGACCTATAGTGTGCTCTCACGAGACTTACTTTGGCGAAACTTTGCACCAAGAGCGCCGGTTGGAAGGTACCACTAAATGTGAATTTCACTCAATGGATTCAGTGAAGTTTGCTCCAGGTGACGGCTGCGGAACGTCGACTAGCAGAAGCACGGGCAAAGAAAGAACAAGAAGAGGACATGCGTCTTCTGGAACTGAGCGTCCGCTTAGAGAAGGAGGCAGCCGAGCGGTCTAAACGAGAGCGCCAGATGTTACTCAATTTACATCAAAGCCGGGCCGACAAAATCGCCATGCTAGCGACGGTTGACAAGGCAAGAGGAAGTTCCTAAGGCCCGGCTTTTATCTAAACACTCGCCTAGATATGCTGAGGTGCCTCGCGATAAGCTACGATGCCGCGTGCGCTCTTGCATTTCTATGCGAAAAGAATAAGAGCCCTCATTATGTTGCGGGAGCAACACTGCCGGTCCGCCTGCGGAAGGGCTGTGTTGCGGCGTGTTTCCAGAAAGAGTTGGCCACGCAGTGTGCGCTGAAGAGGGATGCTGCTGACCAAGCTCGAAAGGAAGCCATGGAGAAGGAAGCTGCGGCCCGGAAGAAGGCGGTACACAACCAAATACATTTCGTCAAGGCTGTAGTTGGTGGCATCCTATGTATGTGCACTCCCCATACAAATGCAGGAAACGCTGAGTTAACTATGCGCAATTGCAGTTGGGAGTGCCCTTGTGGTGGACACAGGAGCAGCTAAAGGTCCATGAGTTCCTCAAATTTCAACAGGAAGAAAAAGAACGCCAGAAGAGAATTGAGAAACAGGAGCGCTACGAAATACAAAGGCAGCAAGAGCTCGATGCAGAAGTGAGCAACCACACCACAGTAAAACTTTCAGAAGTAGCTCGTGCACTGAAGTGTAGGACAAACTTTGCGAACCATTTGTATTTGCGCCTGCGAAATACACTTTCAGGAGTACAAAAGGAAGCAGGAACTGGAGCTTCGCAGCAGGAGAGAACTCTGCAAACGTCAGCAGGAGCTGCTTATCCAGCAGATGGAGGAGAGGAAGCTGAACAAGGATATTCTAGTGAGCAGGATATCCGACAACGACCAATGCAAAATGCCACCGTAACAGCTCTTGCTCCTTTGGCAATGACCTATCAAAGCAAGACGAAGTACACACTGCACCATTTGTTGTAGCTCTCCATCTGTGCTCTTGGTGCGCAGGTAAGCCAGACGGAGATGAAGCTTAATCGGCGCCTTCTTGAGGAAGTCAACGACTATCTGGCCCACAAACAACCCGTCCAAGACTTGAAGTCCACCGAACGCTAGCATTTGGCAGGTGGCCTGACTGGTGCCGGAGCTGCAACAGATTTAACTGCCACTAGCACAGAGCTGCGTTATGTGCATTCGCTTGTCAAAATTGCTCCACTGCTGAAACTCTTTGGTTTGCAACTAATACTACTTATTGGAAGTAATCTGGAGTGGTCGTTAGACGGCCCGACTATCGGAATCGCTCTAAAAGTTCTGCGTCAGCGGAACAGCCCCGTAACACATTTGCAACAACTGCTTCATAAATGCGTACTCTGTAGGCCTGTTTATTGACAAAACCTGAGTATCCGAGCAAATGCACGGTGCAGGGCACGGCTGCCACTGAAAATGCTTGGGGTTCGTTCCCAAGAGGTTGATGCAAAGCCAATGTGTAGCGACGTAACTGAGGATAGGTTCCAAACGTATCCCATCATCTACAGCCTCACTACTGAAGGCAATTTGTAAGAGAAGATAAGCTAAAATCCGTTAAAAATGGAGATGTGCCTACATACTCTTTAAATCAGAGCAAGGAGTCTTTCATGACTTGACACAAACATCGGACCATATGCATGTATCCATGAGCAAGAGCTCTGATATCATGGGCCATAGTGGGAAGTGTCCCGAAATGCAAGTCTCAAGAAGCGAGATGCTCGCGTGTCTCATGCTCCAGTTGCGTCCATCTAAAGTCATTGGTAATCATCCAGTGAGCTTGAGAGCCCCAAATGGGCAGTGGTTATTCTTCGTTGGCTTTTCTGGTAGGAGAGGCTGATGCGTAGCGTTGTTTGATCATGTTGATGCGCGTCATCTTGTAATGCAGATGAGTGTTACCTAAAGAGCCTACGAGGTCTTCAACTTTTGGTGGGGGGGGTATGTGGGAGAAGTCAAGAGGTTTTATGATTCGCCTGCTCATATACTGTTTGAGGTCTTCGCCGCGCGAGTTGGGCATGGAATGAACTTCCGTGGAAACTGGGGCCTCTGTGCTCTCTTGAGGGTACAGGAACACAGTGGGACCCTTTTCAGGGTCATGGGAAGGAACATATTCCCAAACATTACGCATTGCTGTTGCGTTTACGGGGGCGTTGTTCGGTTCCTCTGATATTTTTTCTTGGCTTTCGTCTTCTGTGGTATGCCCTTGCGGCTTGGCATCCACAGTAGGATCTTCTGCCAGTTTAACGACAGTAACGGTTCCAGCGCAAGGTTTCTTGGGGGGCTCCATGCCCTTCAGCGCATACCTCGCCTCTTCAAGGGCTCGCTCAGTCTTTGCTTCCTGGACTACCATTTTCTGAATGACTTTGTTCGTTGCGTCCACGACATCCACCAGCTTGCTGTCGTCGTTAAGTGCACCTGCTTCAGCTGCTTCCAAAAGAACACCAGCTCTGACATCCTCCTCGAATTTCTGTCGTTCCTCATGTAGATAGTTGTACTTCGCTGCCTCGATGTCCTCAAGTTTTTCGTCGGAAAGTGTTGGAGGGGAAACTGAATGACCAAGGACAATGAGGCTGCTCTGTTCTTCAGGCTTTAGCGAGCGCCTTCGCTCCGCCGAGTCAATGTAGAAGAATGATTTGAAGAGAGGAAGGGGGGCATGATTCCCCTTTTCATCATGCAACAGCTGTGAAACGTTCACGAACTCCCCAGGTGCAGTGCCTGAAAGCCCTGGAATTCGGTATATCATTGTCCTCTCACTGACGTTGCCGTCGCTTTCAACTTTTTCTGTTATCTCCTCACACACTGATTCATCTTCTTCAAAGTCCAAGTCCTCCACTGAGCGAAGCCCATGCATGATTGCTTGCTGTCGAGCGGCCGCTGCTCGCCGTTGACGCGTCTGCCTGCTCCTTTCCGGAATGGCTCTGAGTGGATCATCTAGCATAATAAGAGGCAAATAAGATGACGGCATCACCCCTTGTGGAGGCATATATGCCATTTCAGCAGCCATATTCCCAGGATACAGCTGGCGTCCCTGCACAGCCGCTTCTTGCATATCTTTGGCGTACTGGTGGGCCCGCTGTACTGCCAATGAAGCATCGTTTATAACGCATTGATCAACACCGGCTAGCATGAACTTGGCGAGGACACCGTCTTTATGAGAGCCAGTCACATCCTTTATCTTGGCCCGAGCAGCGGCCTGCGCTTTCATGCATTCAACACGCTCCTTTAGTGCTTTGTTCCTTTCCTTTAGCATTTTGAGGCGTTCTTCTTCAGCCTGGCGTTTCCTCTCTTGTTCCTTAGCAGCCTCTTCCAGTGCCCTCTTACGTTCCGCCTGTTGCTCCTCAAGTTTTTCTGCAGCTTGGACAATCGTGTATTGAGCAGTGTGGGCATATCGGTGCAGAATCGAGAGCTGCGGTAGGTCGCCCTTCTCACGACACCGCTGCAGGTATTCGTGTGCCTGGGAAAAAGCTATGGATGCCTCATCCCACGAACCGAGACAATCCTTGACGACGTCAAGTCTCCCCTTATTAACCCACTCTTCGAATGTAGACCATCGCCCATTAAACAGAAGGACCCTCATCAAAGAGGCCAACAGGGGTGCACAATCCACGTGAAGCGCTTCCCTTGTCGTTGTTTCCACAAAGTTTATAAAAACTTCGGCATGCTTGAGCGACCTGTCGAAAATAGATTCCTTGACCGTGCCTCCCACCCATTGTCCAAGATAAAGTTGAGCAAGCAACAGATTGCAAGCCGCGTACAACCAATGCTGCGTGCCCAAAACGACTTCAATGCTTTTGATTAACGAGCCAACATCAACTGTCCACTGTGGGGTTGAAGGGAAGTTAAATTTGCTCTGCAGCTCTAAATAGAGCCGCTCGAAATAGTCTTCCATACCAATGGGCATGTCGTCATCAGTGAAGCGGCCTTTGCAGCTGCTGCACACCCAAACGCCACTGCGGTTTCTCTGGCAGTACATTGGAGGAGGTGAATGCATCTCTAGGGATTCATCCATGATTGCAGAACAACCAGAGTAGGCGTTGCTAATGGAGCGACACGTCTGCTCTTCACTCTGCGAATCCTCCAGACCCATTTCAGTGCTTCTGCTTCCGCAGGAGTTCATCGCGTAAATAGACAGGACCAACGATCCAGAAGCATCCTTCATCTTTCCCACACCAACTGAGTTGGAGCTTGTCTTCGACTCACAATCAGAAACTTCCTCAGGTGTACGGTCGCTGTTCGAAGCGGTGTCGGAGAGGTCATTAGGTCCTCTAGTGCCTTCGTCGCTAGCTAAGGAGCCTTCGCCGCATTGACTTTGTACTTCTTCCCCAGTTTCCGAAAATACCCGACTAGCATCCGGCATGAAGGCCTTCTCATCATCCGCTGGTTCGCTGGACACTTCAGATACCTCCGCCTCTTCATCGCTTGACTGCAGGGCGGCTTTGCTGCTATCATCATCGGAAGCGGGAGCTGATGTGTCTTCGACGTCTGTATTGGTCAGCTCTCCAGATGCTGTAGCTCTCTTGTCTCCAACCTTCAGCTGGCCATTTTCATCCTCAGATTTCTCGTTACTTTCTCCATGCAAGTCATTCGATGAGGGAGCAGAAGGGGGTTTTGCATGGGAGTCGACAATCTTGAGCTTTATAGGGCGGCAGGAAGGACAGAGAATGCGCCTTTCCTTCTCGTTCATACAACCACACCGGGTGCACTTGCACGTGAAACACTTAGTCTGCAAGAGACGTTTGCTACGGAATGAAGCTGAAGCGTAAAGCTGGTCGATATACGTCATCGAGATTACCTCACCAGGTGAAATATCACGGGTGGCGAAATAAACCAAAAGCCCATCCAGGTTCCGGTAGGTGACATTGGGTTCGCACGAGTGATTCACCATGGCAGCCTTTGGGTAGAGGCCCCACCGGCCAGTGGAAGGCAAACCATGGGCATTTCGTTTCATCTTCGCCAGGAACAACTTGAATGGCTTGGCCATCTCAATGTGTTTATTGGCCCGGGCCATGAGAATGCACCACATCGACTCATCTTCCGTAAGGTCGGAAGGAAACCCCTGAAGAGAGTCCAAGGCTGCCTTCTGTTCGCTTGTCAGATTCATGAATGTCGTCCACATCGACTCAGACTCAATATCACAAGTTAGCATAGGCATTTCCACGAATACGACCTGATCCTTTTTGATATCGGTAGTGGCGAAAAGTCCTTTGCCACCTACTGAAACGTCATCACGAGTCTCGACAACTCTGTCAGCAAAAGCTGCAAGCTCCCTCCTAGACTTCTTGACCGTTTCCAGTATTTCTTGAATGAATATGGTGGCTTGCTCAGCTGGGTTATCGTCTTTGGATGCTTTTGCCTCAACAGCTGGCACACTTTCGCCTGATGTCTCTCCTTTTGGATAGAACATCTCTTGACAAAGCTTGCTGAAACACGCGTCTACTGGAGGTAGGTCAGTTGGATGTGCGTTGCCGCTTTCAGCCTCTTCCTTTGACCACACGTATGTACCCATGGTGTACACAACTGGCTTGCGCAGAGCATCGTACACATCTTTGTCTTCTTTTGTGTGAATCGCGTTGACATCTACCTTCCCGGGTGGGCGTTTTGGGATGCTTGCGATGAATTTTGCTGCTGCAGTGCTTCCCACTGCACTAGAGTCGCCCTTAGAAGCTGTAAACCTGTCTGCTTTGGGATTTGTGATGGGCTCCAGGTATATTGGAGACGGTCTGTGGCAAGCCACCTCAGGTCGGATGGAGCCCACTGCGCTTTCAGCTCCTGAGGTGCTGCTACTCTGACGGCTTATAATATTCACAGCGGAGCCTAGAGCACGCACGTGCTTACTTCCAACAACTTCGACATAATCGGGGGGCACTTCTGAAGTTTCTGCCGGTCTCTTCAGCACCTTGCCAGCGTCCCCACTAAGGGCCCCAACTCTGTCCCGAACAGGTCCCACAAAGGCCTTTGTTACCTCACGCACTGGAACTACTTGGGTGAAATCTGGGTCTTGTTTTCTGCCCAGATAGGCGGCAGCTTGCGGGCCGAGTTTGTGAGGGCGGGCCGCGACAGGTCTTGCGGGCGTTGGCAGGGGAGCGCTGACGACTTCTTCCGTCGGCGTGGGCTCCTGAGGAGGTGGCTCGACTCCTAAGATCTGACCGAGGGTGTAATCAGAGGCATGCCTGGCTGGGATGTTGAATTGTTGGAGGTTTTCGACGAGCTGCTCATATGGAATGTTGCCGGTCCCGTCAGCTGGATTTGTCCACCGCTTGATGTGGTCAGGAGCAACGGCTGCAAAGTGGCTCAACCAGTTTTGCCCTTTACAAGGTTCTTCAACTGGAGATTCCTTTTTTCCTATAGTAGGCACCACCTCTGTTTGATTGGCGGTGGAGTCGGTGGCGCCCAGAACTTTGGCAACCAGCGAGCGGAGCCCAGACAGGGGCTCAGCACGGGCAGAGTCCATGTTGAGTCTTAAATCCACCTAAAAACGGGAAGTTTATTAGCTTTAGTAGCTGGGAAATTGGAAAGGTTTGAGGTTCTGAGGATCTAGGGAGCGCTAGTCCCCGCCGCTGAGCATCGGCAGTGCCGGCAGCAGTGCAACGGTTAACGGACCAATGCTGAAGGAGCCCTGGGGGCCATGACTTAGGAATAATGACAAAGAATGGGTATTCAGAAGAGATATGTTCAAAAAAGGAAAAGAAGGTGAATGCACACGCACGTTGTAGGCTGCGGTAGTGAGCCTCCCTGCTAATGGCGAACCAGCAGCTGACCAGCCTACTCGGTGCGCCTTGCAGAGTCAATCTGCCGAGGAACCTTCGCTCAAACAAATCAAACGATTAAGTTGTAAGTTTGTGACACTTTTTCTGGATATGTATTTGAGGTAAGAGGCTACCGTTGTACAGTAGAGCCAAAAAGTGATGGCGCATCGCGTAGTCGGAGGCGCTAGCAGTTGTCGGAGGCGGATGCCGTGCCTTCCATACTTACTTGCGGAAGGAAAACCACTGCCTGACTAGTTTCATTTGCCGTATTCTTCTTAGAATTGAACCTGTTTCTCGCATGAAACTCACATCCCTCTTCCTCGCCTGCCACTTCACTGATTCGCTCACAGCCTGAAACGCTTCACGAGTGCAGCCGACCGGATGGTGCTCTACAGAATCGTCGGAATAACATTTCAATTGGAAATAATTGGCATCACTTGGAGGCCACACAGATATAACCTTTTGAGTTCCCCCGATGTGGGTATGTGACTGTACTCAGTCTCTCCAAGTGCAGTATAGTGTTTCATGTTGTGCAACTCTTTAAAATTGACACGACGGCATTGTTTTCGGCCGCCAATCGTGGTCCAGGAAATGCTAAGCTTAAGTGTTTAGACTTCAGGGTATTTTCGGGGGTACTATTCTGGCTCGTCACAAGCTCCCTTCAGCTGGTGACGCGTTATTAGTCTTATCCCAGTGCACTAGGATAATGTGCAGCCTACTACTACAAGGCAACCGCAAAGCCTCCCTTGCCTGTTTCCTGAGCTGGCGCACTCCACACTGCAACCGTGGGATGTTGCATTAATTGCATGCCCACTTGAACGGTGTGTGTCTCTGGTGATGCGTATCACCTGTAGTGGCATACAGATGGCAGGCAGCACGGTATTTCATGGTGCAACTACTAAGGCAACAACCGAAGGAGAGCACGGCGTCAAAGTGGCGCAGGTTAGACGTGCACAGTACTCACGTGTATCCGACACTACAACTGAGTATGCGTTCACATTCCTATCTAGAGCACTTCTTACAGCGAAAAAAAGACGAGCTTGCCACGATTTGGCATCTCGCATACCATAGGCAGACGGTAAGGAGACCTAAGGACGCCTGCTGACTTTAAAACAAAAAAAAAAAGTACAATCGTGCCTATTCCTTATGTTCGGTGAGATAATTGGAAGGCGTGCCGTTAAAATGTACAAATGCAACGCAGCTCTCCAAGCTATTCGCATGCGGTTTTCATGCGGTTTAAAATGAATCGTAGTTGTTAAGAGTGTCCTTGCACGCGCAGATTGTACAAGCATGACTTCCGCGCAGGGGCAACAGTGCAAGATGCAGAGGTGGTGCGCCCTCCCTGCAAAATCAAAAGTTCGTCGAAGGCCTGAATGGGTCGCCGCGCCGACTAGTCGTCTCAGCACGCGCCCTTTGCTCAAAGGGCTGCGCCGCAGCACGAGCATCCTCATACCGTTTGTTCCATGGGCTTTCCATGCAACTGCCCATCTACAGAAGTCCCTGAGATGCCTTCTGCCGGCCTGCATTTGGAGGCTTCAGCACCTCGAGTTGCGCTACTTCCTGGGCCATAATGCTGGCCATATGTGCTGGCCAGTGGAACTCACCCTGCATGACCACGGTTGGTACGTCAGCTGAATTTTGCTTCGATACAGCCCCACACAAATGAAGAAATCGAATGGAGCAACGCCTCAAAGCAGCGCGACCATGCTGCATCCATTCCGGTGCACTCACAGCAAGTGCTCTCAGTGCGCAGGCGAAATGGTAGACATCGCTGAATATCTCCGTCCCCTAAGCAATAGTCACGTGGAGGTGCTAAGCCGCCGCAACGAGGATGTCCAGACACCAGAATAGTCGTAGACCATGTAGACCATGTGTTCCTCAGTCTCCGTATTCAAGCTGACAGTTTACAACTTGTCTCCCAAATATACGGAGGAGAGCAACACCCTCATCTCAGTCGCTCAACCGCGTTTACCTCACCAAACACTATATTTGTGGGGTGCTGTGAGTTGTGGAGTCCCCAGATATGTTCATGTTCATGGATTCATGATCCCACCTGCCGTTACTGTGCACAATCATTCTAATGGCGCAAGACGTTGTTCTGCGTACTGTGAGTTGCTTTCCCATAACACTGCCAAAGCCTTGTGCAGCTGAGCACACTCTGGTCCGCTGTAAATGCGTAGCAGTCGCGTCAGCGATGCAATGACGATCTACTGACAACAGTTTTCGTCTCCATCCATACACCGTAGGCTCCAACGCACATCCCTGTCAACCGCTGATGGCCACACAGACTGTCAAGCGATGTAGATTGGCACATTCAGGCTGTGACTTAGCAGAATTGCGCTGAGCACTTGAATTCACTGCAGGGATACCCACGCGCTCGTGGTTAGTGCATCCACGGGCCATTTCTACTGTGATCTTGTGGCGCATCGAGATAATGCTGAAGGCATCGCCACAGCCACCGCGTAGGCGTCGTCTCAAGCTTTTATGGCTCGCGATGAAAGCGTTGTGAAGTACTGCAAGATACTATGCGCCTTAGTAGCCACGTTGTAATCAGGAAAGTACCTCATCCTAGCTAACTTGACATCTCCCTGCACAACCACAGAACATAAACACACAGTGCGCATGTCTATGTGCACGCTAATGTACAGACGACCTGGATACGCAAATACTAGTATAGATGTATTTGATCATAGCTTTTACAGCTTACACAGCTGCTTACCTGAACCGCTTGGAAGAGGCGGGCGTATGGATTTTCAGGTAGATCCAAAGACTTCCCCTCTTGAACGCCTACCTCTAGAATGTTCTCTAGCCCCCTTAAAATTGCCTTGCAGAGCTTCAGACTGCCACTGTTCGATGGGTCACTTTGGGACACCAGTTCTAGCATGTCGGCGATCAAGTGTAAGCACGGATTCGACCCAGTCAACGATAAGACGCAAGGCTCATCGGGATCCTGGGCAAAATACACCCCCGACGTGCCCCTTCCACGATCCAGGAAGGATGGTGCGCGTGTTGTGCAGCACACAATAACCCCTACTTGCCGAGGGCTGGCTCGTGACAAGCAGGCGCAGACAGCGTACGCTGCTTCAATGCGTGTGTTGTAGTCCGGGTCCACTTGAAAGATCTCCAGCAACAGCGGGAAAGCCTGAGTATCAATAATCGCCTGCACATTCCGGACCCACAGACCACAGGTAGAGGGTGAAAAGCAGGCCGTCCCCTTGCAGCAACTTCATAAGTGCCCTTCAAAGTCTTCAAACTCGAAACGAAGCATGTGCGCCTACCTGAACTTGAGTGGGCGTCTCGCACCCCAAGTTCCCAATAGTGTTGCATGCCCTGGCCCTGGCCATGGGGCTGGAGACTGCGGGGTCTGTCAGCACCTGAACCATGGTGCTGACAGTTCCCATGCCGATAACGAGGTCGATCTGTTGCGTCGTGCCGATGAAAGCAATGCGCGCAGCAATTGAAAGAGCATCAAACACGACAGTTTCGTCTGAGTGACATAACAGCTTCATAATATGCGGCATAGCCATGGCCTCCAGGACAGCAGACACGCCCTCTGGGCTGTCGCAAAGAGTCACGCATGCATTGCACGCCAGAGAAAGACTTGCGGGATCTTTTGACTCCGCCATGACGCGTACGAGGAATTTGAGCACTGCCAACTTCATATCTGCGCTGCAAAAACGAGGGTGAACAAGAGCCTCTACACACCGGACGCCCTCAACGTCCGGATGAAGATTTGCACACCGGAGAACAGCCGGTAGTACTAGCGGCCTCCGCACGAGAGACAAGTTCTTCCCATGCTTGAAGTCCAGGGCGATCTTAGTCAAGAAAGAAAAGATAGCCACGCGTAGCTCGACGACGCCCGGCGAATCAAGGGTGAGTTTCTTGAGAATGTCCACAACGGCATCCAACAGACTCGAGGAGACGACACGCAAAGTCTGCGCGAAGGTCCCGCGGCAAAGCCGCTGCAACAGCAATATAGACTCGAGCTGCAGATGGGGGTGCGGCATGCGCAATGACTCAATGACATGCGCCACCAAATTCATTTCCACGAACTCATCGATAGAAATGTCCAACAAGGGCCCGCTTCGCAACTCCGCGCCGCTGGGCAGAGTAGTACCTAAGGTGCTCCCAGTGTTCACAACTGCTCCCTCCTGTCGGTTGCTAAGAGACCTGCGGTATGCTTGGGTTGCCTCGAGCCGCAGCGCAATATCTGAGGACTTCAGGTTTGTCATCATGCGGACACCGTTATCATACGTCAAGGAGGAATTTCCCAGCTGACTCACAAGGCTGTCCAAGGCATTCTCCAGCGAAGCAGTTGCTGCGCATGCATCATTGAACGCGCTCGTCGCCGATGCTGGAGACGCCACTTGGGTCGGCTCCTCTTTCCCCCTCTCAGGACCTGTCTGCATCTCCTCCTGCATATCTTGCTGCGACTGTGCAGTCAGGGTCTCCGGAGGTGAAGTCTGCTGCAGGCCCACCATGGATGCCGTTACATTTCCTGCAGCCGTATCCGGTTCGAAAGCCGGAGGTGACTGGATGAACATGATTGAGGATGACGCGGGAGGAACTTGCGGTTCATTCCCCGGGGAGGGGGCCGGGGGAGTGAGCCCCATTATTATTCACCAAAGGCGGCGAACAACAACCGGGACTGAGGAGAGGGGTGCAAGGGCAACATGCAGGCCCCTGATCCGTAGTCAACGCTAGACTCTGCGGCCCCAAGGAGGCTACGCGGAACAGTTGCAGATGACTGTTGCCTGCTCGGAGGAGCAAATGCCGCTAACCGATGCAGTCTGGATCCACAAGAGGCTGTAAATTCAATGCCAATGTAGCACTCAAAAAGCAGCTCGCGCCACTCCTTTGGCATAAGCAGATGCATGTGGTCCGGGCCACAGAATATGCGAAGTTGTCGCGTTGCCCCGGCAAGCCCAGAAAAAGACCTGCCAGAGGCATCGATCAAAGGCATGCGCCGCCTCTATGCACACAGAGACAAGTAAAGCAGCTGTGAATTCAAGACAGGACTCCCCATTGCGGTGTATTCCGCAGCCCCAGATGCTGTCGGTCAACGGGAAGCGAAATCTTTGTAGACGCAGAACAGAGCCGCGGCTGTTGTTTCGCAAAAGAATAAAGAGTTCCACTGTGAGATATGCGCAATGCTGTTGTTTTCGTCTGAAGAGCTTGTACAATCCGGCCTTGTAGGAGGCGAGCGATCGTAACGTCCGCTACACGCGTCGTGTTGGTTCGCAACGGCTTTTCTTCTGGGCCGAGGCGGTGGCAGTGGGGGATCTATAGGCCTTTACGAACTCAAGTCATAATGCTGCGCCAGCAACAGAGCTGCGTGAATACAGGCGAGTGCGCGCTAAGAGGGCTGCACGCCTCGCGTGCATGCTCCATCCTTGGTCTACTGTACTGCCACCCCTGCCGACACGGCGGACGACCCCACCGAAAGCACACGGCCCACCAGCCAAAGTTTCAGATGCAAGAGGCCTTTTTTTGCCGATTCCAAAAAACAATTCAAGTCCTGCGATGTCTTACCCATTTCCATCCGCCTCTTATGGCTTGTTGAGCCCCCCAGCAGCCGACCGCAGCATACTGGCGCACTACGCCTGCGTCAACGCACCGTCGGGGCAAAGAGTTACCACGCTTTTCACTAGAGCTATGAATTGTGTCTGTCTTTTTGAATCATTGAGCAAAGGAGCGGCTAAATGGCATCATCTACAGGATCGTCCCTGCACTGCTGCCTCCCTGCTGTCTGCTGTCTTGTAGGTAAATATTGAGTTTCCTGTGGTCCTGGTGGAGTGAGTTCATGTGTTTCTACCTGCGTGTAGTGTGGTTAGTGACGGAAAATTAAGGCTTTTACACGTACATGAGGTGTTCATCTCACAGAGGAGGGGCTGGAGGCTGTGTATGCATCCATGTGGGGTTGGCACCCAGCAAGAGCTACTGCAAGTGTACTGCAGCCCATGACAGGCCGCTTTCTCGCCGCTCCAACCCCACTTTTCCCCGGTTCCCATGATGCATCGGCACCAGAAGTGAGACCAGCTGTTATTCGTTGAACTGATATCAAGCATTTTGTCTACTGAAGCTACTAACGGGCCACGCCCATGGTTGAGGACGTTCGACAAGTTTTGCACTGCGGAAGGATAAAATGATAGCGATTCTGTGTCGGGCTCAGCGAGATTCATACGATGTTGTATTGCTATATGCACATCTTAAGCACATGAACGATTGGGCACTCGTCTGGTGCAAGGTAGGTTTGGGTTTAATTCAACCATATATCGGTCCAGTAGTACCTCACGACATTCGCAGCAGGAGCCAAATGTGGTAGGGTTTAAGAGTATCCGGTTTTCTGACTACTACATTTTTGGTATTTGGGTGGCCGTCCAAAGGCTTATTCGTGCGGCTCCCATCCATGGGGCAGAGTAGGCCTGTTTACTTCTCAAACGCAGAGATAATTGGAATACAGCTGTTAGGCTTGTTGAGCTGTTCATCGTCTGAGCCACTGCACGGTGCGATTCCACTTCTGCATTCGGAATTAAGTAGACGTAATGAAGGCCTTACATGTTTCTACAGGATTCAGCCTACGTGAGCTTGTTGCCTGTGTGGCGGTTGGCACGAATTGTGTGTGACGTTTATCTCGACGAGCTTACGTGCAAGTGCCAAGCAAAATTTGAGTGGAATACGTGTTCGCTGATTCGGACTCTGCCCTTGTTTTATTTAATACGTACTGGTTTCCTGAATGTTTACGTCGGACGAAACAGACCCGGCGGTGCTCAGCTTTAACCTATCCCAATAGAAACATTTAAGAAGGATCGTTACCTTTGGCTAGGGCCCTTCTGAGCTGCAATGACGACAGAACACCGAATTATGTAAAGAATGCCACCGCGCCCTTTTTCTGAACGTGCAGAGGACGGAGTACAGGGTCCTGCGCATGGATAGAAGAGGAAGTGGGGTTGGGTGGATTTGCAACATCCACAGTTTCCATCTCTCACCCACGAGTAGACCCACATCAAAGCAGCCGAAGGCCTTTTCGGATGCGTGTACAAACACCGTAGCCACTCACTAGACGTTTGGGTTCCACTACGAGCATTCGTGCATCCGTACTTTAGGCATGCAAGCAAGGAGTTTCCAAGACAGAAAGCACATACGCTTTAGAAGGAGCACGTCACATGTGTGTGAGTGCTTCGGCGACGCGTAGGCTGACAGCGTGGAGGTGCTGCACTTTAATGTAACCCAATATAAACATTTAGAAAGAGAAATCACCTCTAGGTAATCTTTGGATTGCAGGTTGCAGACAGGCGAACCCCTCCGAAGTTATTCGCGCCTCCCTTTCCCCGGTGGAGGAAACCTAGGAAGTCGTCCACAGGTGAAATATGAGTTGGCGTGGGAAGGCTTGTTGGTGGCTCGCTATGCCCGCATAAAAGCTTACACAAGCGTCGTCGTCGTCTCCACGCGGAGCTGCATCTGCTTCGGAGACAACCCCAAGGCCAGCATACCAATTCTCGACCAAGCAATTGTTGTGTGACTAGTTCTGGATTGGGCCGCATACAGACTGTTTGTCAGTGCAACAGCAGCAAAAGCTGTATTTGTTTCTCTGAACTCATCGTTGTCCCGTTGCACTCTGGACAAGCCAGGGGCTCACGAGAGCTTGCCATCGAGCAAGTTGCAGGCAGTCTGTTAAATCGTGCGAAGCATTTGATGCCGTCTAGGAACACAGTTTCTTGTACTCAAACCAGCACTTACCAACGTTCCAGCTCGCACTACAGCTGCCGTTTTAGTTTTAAAGTGTTGCCTTTGTCTAACACTGCAGCATTGTGTCACAGTTGCTCCCAGTTGCTCCCCTCTTCAGTAATCGCAGGAGGTTCTAGAGGAGGGTCGCTCTTTCTGTTGTTCGTCCTTATTTGAAAAAAAAACAACCAAATCATTGTTTTATCGTGCTCAGAATCGTTTATTTGTCTGCTGCCTAGTATTCCCTTTAAGTGTGCAATCAGCTTGTTGTCGATGACTCAAGCAAAAAAGCATTCTTGAGGGTGGATGCAATGAAGCTAGTATAGTATGCCTGCAAGAAGAAGAGGAGACTTGCAGTATATCTGTCCATCATTCTAAGCTAGAGGCGAGGTGTGTGTATTACGATGCCAGTTGCCTGCCCGAGTCGAGGGTCACCTCCTAGCCCACTCTGTTTCTTCGTACTCAAGCAAACGGTGTGAACTCGATGCCCAGTCATGTGAGTTCGTTCATCTAGTCGCACTTTACACTGTTTCCCAATGGCTTTGTTGTGTTCGCATGTGTCGATTTGTTGAAAAAAGCCTGTCCGACCTGGCAGCAAGCAGAGTCGAAGAGCCGCCGCCACAAACCAACGGACAAAATGTCAATAAAGGAGGGGAGCTTAGGCTAACCAGCAAGTGTAACCATGTCAGAGACCACAGTTTGTGTGATTCTAGTTAGAAAGTTTGATTGGCCATACGTACAGATACAATTAGTAGCCGTGGTAATGTTTTTCATGTCGCTGCAACGTCCCTCTCTTTCACGTTCCTTGGAAAGCACTTAATTCAGTACGCCAAATTGCCAAGTCCCTGCCTGACATCGCATATCGACTGCTGCTGCGTAGCTGTATCTAAATTCTCGTAGAGTACCGCAGTTTCATCTTTTCACCAGCCCTTGCAACTGGTGTAGCGCTGTTTGGAACTCAAGATACCTAGTGTGGCCTCGTTGTAAGGATATGGCAGTGGCACTAGAAGCTGTGAGCTGATTCCCCAAGAGCAGGAGGGAAAACGTCAATCAGTGCAAGAGGCCTGCAGGGATTATACAAGCATTGACAGTGCTACTGAACGTGGAACAACAGGCCAGTCTTGTCCTCATTCAGCATGAATGTTTATGAAAACTAGTGAGTCATGGAATTTGCGGGTGGAAATGCGTTGCTTTCATCCTGGGAATTAGGGAAGACGTCGGTGCTCCAAAAACCTGTTGATACATGGTGCCAGCGGAGACGGGTAGCCACTGAACAGCAGACCTACCAAATTGGTAGAGGGGCATACCTAGGTATCTCAAGAACATTCCCGTAGTCTGGAGTACATTTAGGGGAGGTAGCAGACGTAGGTGTTGTTTCTTGAGTCGAGTGCTGCCTGAGAACCCGGGGGAGAACTACACCGTACAGCAAACTGCTGCTTATCTCTTCGATGCACACCCTCTTAAATCGGCAAAACCACTGTAGGTCAACATTAGATTAACTGTTCACGAACTAACTAGGAATGTTACTTGTTTTAGTTCAATCCTTATTATGGTGTGTAGCGAGAACACGAGTGACCTCTGACAGCGGTCACGCATCCATCCCACAAGGTGCTGTACTCTGTAGATCCTGAGCACCGTCACATTAAACTTCATAGAAGGGGAAACCAGGAAAATGTCTTTAGACAGTTCTGCGAACACCACACAGAGGAGGGAGGGACTTGTTTATCAGCGAATGCGACGGGGCTGTAGTGCTACTGGGCGACACTGGACCGGCACGACGGTCGGCAAGGAGGCAAACAGATATTTCCCATAATCAGTTATTATTTCATCCGGACTTTTCTCGAAAAGTGATAATTTATGAGTCGTTCTTTCTAGGAATATCGACTCATTCCTACCCAAGTGGGTTACATCATATGCAGTACAGGCTGCTCTCACTCTGCCTTGCGAGCAGAGTCAGCCAGACAATCATAGGCTACTGTTGGCTGAACCAACTCGGGTGTCGCATTCTCCCTTTTGAGTTGTATGACACTTATTACTACTCGCTATTAGTTGCAACGAAGACAGGCAGCAGCTGCAGCAATCGCAGCTGCGCAAGGGGTCCGCGAGGGCGACGATGGGAGCAACTCAGAGTAACGAATCAGCAGCGGCCGCTCTGGGCACCAGCCAGGCTGGGCATAAACAGTACAAGTCAGCTGTTACCCCACCTCTGAAGCATCCTCACAATGAATCGGGCGAAGCACAATGCCCCCTCCCAACAGACTTCCCGGGGAAGATAAAGTTGAGTGGGCTGGCCGCAGTGGACACCACTACCTGCAGCACAACGACCTGCAACAGCAGCCTCAGTGGAGTCAGCACCAGCCCAGAGACGCGCTCAACCGGGCTTGGTGGGAGCGCAAATGCTGCCGCCCTGACGCACTTTAGCGGCACTCCTTTTGAGCGCAGTGACAGCGCCCAGGCGGTGAGCAGCCTAGCAGATCAAACCCCCCGAGCATTCCATGCGACACCCGATTTGAGTGAAGCAGGAGAAAGAAGGAAGGGGTCAGCAACAAAAGCCAGCAGGTGGAGTCGCCGAACGCCCCAAGTGCAGGGGCTGCTGAAAACGCTTGCGCTAGTGGGTCATCGTTCGCGTTCTCAGCCGCCAGCTAGCAGCAGCAGTCATGAGGACCCTGGGAATACTGTACTTGCAATTAATGAGAGTACCTCATTTGCCGCTGCTTTACATGCCCACATACTCAGAGAAGAGGAAGAGCACCGCCGTAGGCGGCACAGCAGCTTGCTGGAATCGTACACGGAAATAGGTGCATCAAAAATGCAACATCCATCCCGCCCGCCCCAGGATCTTTTCGAAGATGGACATATTTGTGTATCGTCTGCAGCCACAAAAGGTAAACCTACCGCCAGCTGTAGGGCGTCTCCAAGGGGCGGTGAAGCATCCCTTTCGTTTCATTGTGGAGCTGAAGGTGATGCAGCCCACGAAATGCACGTATCGCCCAAAGGGACTATGAGGAAAATCGGGGGACGTCGAGATTTACAGCCGGCGCAAAAAGTAGAGAGCCGTTGGATAGCAGACGCTCCAGCAAACGGAAGATGGGAATTGGAGAGAGGGACCTGGAATCGTCAGGGAGTTCATCTAAACCATATGCATGTTGCAGATGAGAGATTTCGAGCGGTCATAGCAACCCGACAGTTGTCGCCGCGGCAGCACACTGCACAGACACAAGCTTGGCATGGTCCAGTGGTCAAGCATCTACAATGTCCTACAGCTCAACCCCGTAGAGTTCCCATTGCACCGCTAGCTGGCCACCTGCAAGCAACCCAGCAGAGGCTCTTGCAATCGGGTCACCAAGTCGTGCCGGTGACATACAGAGGAGTGGCAGCAGCCACGACAATTGAGCTTGCCAGGAGCAGACATGCGAACGAAGAAAAGCGCAGACAGCAGCATTGTCTCATAGCCTCCCCTGAGCCGGATGAGAGCACGCCTGCAGCGGTTAGCACCAATCGGAAACACTGTGTAGCCAACGACAGCGCCAACAAATTGACGACAGGTAAGTTTTGTGTGCATTGTTGGAGAGACAGTATAAGCAATATAGATACGACTCGATGGCGTTTGGGCTGAATCCATTCTCCTTAAAGGCCTTGTGTATGAACAGGCGGCGAGGAGACTAGGCACGGCATCACTGTGGGAAGGGGATCCGCTCTTACACGAAGTTCCCTCTCCTCAGGTTTTCAGGGGGCAGTCTTGAAAGACCCTTCAGTGCCTGCGCATTGCTTTTGCCAGTCTTTCCTGCCAAATGAAAGGCACAGTGGCGCATGCATCCCAAATACTACGGACAATCCGACACTGCCGGAGGCGGGAAGCTGTGGGGAGGCAAGGACTTCGAGGCTTTTGGGTCCCACCCCTGCACTTCCCTTGACTACGTGCGAACAGCACAGAGAGCTGGTCCGTCCCATACTGCAGCAAACGCAAAGCCCCACTGTTTGTTCAGTTTGCATTTATCGAGAACAGCGTAGGAACGTCATATCCCCCATATGTGGCAACACATTGTAAGGCCTCGCCAGCCCTACACACACACACACACACACACACACACACACACACACACACACACACACACACACACACACACACACACGATAGGACAAATGTATTCAGTCTGCTTGACGCTGCTTGACGCTGAATCCCACACTCTGTTCCTCTTCAAATGTATTGAACTTCTGTGTGATTAGGAAGACAGGAATGCGCTCCAATGCCTCAACTCTACAGCTCCAAAGTTTTCCGCAAAGGTTTGTGTGTAGACGTGTCAGGAGACTGAGACGTCTACAAAGTAAATTATTATCGCCTTTCTAGCGGTTGCCGCAATGAACGCGTGGGGGCAATATATGAATATATTAAGAGCATAGCTGGATTGTGTGCTGCTGCTTCTGCATTCAGAGCGATAGCATCCGGTGCCCGCCTGCAACTGCTGCCTTTCCTTCCGCTTCGCGCTCTTTGCAAAAACACGCATTTGTGGCAAATCCGCGGACTCAAGTGGGGGCTCCTAAAAGACGACCCCGCTAATGTTGTGATGGGTTGCTATAAGAAGGAGGCATGCGTGCAACCCAACTGCTATGGCCGTGCCAAATTGCCTTGCATAAGCTGGGCCCACCTCCAGTTCTCCACAAGACATCCTATATAATCCAACGCCTGCAAATACCACTTTGAACCTGCATAGAGTAGAGCATGGGCCTACAGCGAAGATGAGCAACAAGTTCCAGATGCTTCTGTAATGCAGTGCTTGCGCTCATTCTGCGGCCCCCCGAAGTGCCGTGTAATGCTTAACCGCAGTCCGCGCAATTTGCCTACTTTAGAAAATGCACGCATTCGGTAGTCGTGGGGATGTCGCAACAGCCAATCAGAACGCCTTGCAGTCCACGACTGAGCAAGAGGGTAGAAGCACTTCAAAACCGGGAACACCTATTCTAAACTACGACACCTTGTCCCTCCTCTCAAGCAGCCACTACGCGGTTTCTGGCAAAATATTAGTCCTTTGGGCTGCATATGTGAGCTGCATAAGTGGAACAGGACTCTTAGGCACTTGTGTTTGTCGCTGACAGTAGAAGTGAGATACTGGTGTACAACGAGTACAGGGTACAAGTCCAGTGCGCCATGACGCCCAGCATTTGCCGCATGGAACATAGCAGTCTGCACAAAATGTGCCAAGCGGCTGCTAAAATTAACGCCTGTGCACCGAATATTGAACTGGCGGCATGGATTGTACAGCTCCCTTTATGGGAGCTGTACAATCCAGGCCGCTCTGGGCGTCAGACAGTTCAGCTGTATGAGACACCGTTAACAGGCGGCGAAGCCTCTAAAACTCATCTCTGTGCACCTCGCAGTGCGGCGTAGCAGAGCAGTGCAGCATCTAAAGCCTCCGCACCGCGCCTCCCAACACAGGGGAACAACAGGTGCAGATAACCAGCGTAGCAGCATAAACACTCTAATGAGGCAACTGCTTCAACGTGCTTGCTGTCAAAGTCATGGGTCCCCAGCGTTCATCCCCGGGCCACCTCCTCACTACGACTCGATGCGACACAAGTTTCTGAGTGCCTCTGTTTGCATGCACTGACCGCGAGGCTTCTTCAACTCAGCGCTGCGGAGTCGTTAAGTATTTCTGACGAAGCCTGGGGCTTTGGATGGGTGGAAGCCGGTGTAGGCATAAACCGAGACCACAAAGAAGAGGAACCCGCAGCGGCAGCCTGTTGCTGCAGTTCCTCATACTCCTTCATTTGCTGGAATTGCTTTCTAGGGGTCATCGTAGGTGTCCCGCGAAGAAACATCTGTTCACACACAACCGATATACAGTATATGAATGAGACATAGCTTATAAAATGCTCGGTTCAAACAACGATGAAAGCGGCTTGACGAGCAAATGGCAAACAAAAAGGAAACATAAACATCAAGTGACACCTAAAGAGATGGTGACCGCAACAAATGTGAAAATACGGGGAAAGACTGGAGTGAAAAAATCAACAGGGAACAGATGTGTAACGTGTAAAAGGCAAAGGTTTCATCCGTTTAGTCTACGAGGATCATGCTGCTTGCTGCGTGGCTACAGCACGGTCTTACGATTTGCACGACTTCAATAATCCCGAGAAGAATCCCTCCAACTGCCGCATTTCTAGCGCAACTTCTCCAGCCAGATCGCATAGACAGCACCCCTCCAGTAGCAGCCCCTGCAATTACAGGGTTCCAAGAGTCTTCCTTCCCTCCTCTGGCGTAGGCCAGAGTACAATCGAAGGCACAAAATATGCCTCCCCAAGTAGCGAAAGCTGAGCCCACAGCTGGGGATTTCAGCGTTCCAGAAAACATCGCCCCGTTGAACTTTTCGTACTTCGGTGAATTCCTCCAGCCCTTTGCAAAGTGCCATAAAAAACCACCCAAGGCACCCATGCCAAAGGCACCCCCCATGTCGTCCAGTATGCGGTCTGGACACGGCTCCCTGTTCAGGTCCCGACGAGATGCCATTTTTTAAAGACAGAACTGTGCAGAGTAATGAACTACAAGACAGAGGGGGATATGAATCACCGGCAGAGGATGGCCTACAGCCAGTGGTCACGGTGGATACCCTAGACGTCCAGATAAACGAAAAAGCAACAGGATGAGCAAAATAAACAGCCAGCGTACACTAGTTGCTCGTTCCTGGAACTCTCAGCGCCTGCAGAGGTCCAGCCTGGAGTGATTTTAGTCCCTGCAGCAGCGCGGCGCGGACGGCTGGACCGTTGAACTTCAGTCGACTTACGGGTTCTCCTCCCACAAGAACAATCGGCACTTCTTCTCGGAGATGCTGTGCATCCCCTTCACATATGCCCAAACTTTCACGAGCTTCCGCAGAGTCCAAGCTAGCCAGCCCCACCCTCACCCGCACCTGTACTTGTGCCTGCAACTGGAGAAGGCCTTGAGGTGACCTGCTGTAGCAACTTCCACGCTGGTCCTCCTGTGAAATGGACTCTGGCTGTGGCCCGTTGTAGTATGAGGAAGAAACGGCTGGCAGCCGCTCCTTCAATATAGGAGCTTCTGACGCCAGATATGCTCCTCCTCTGCCAGCTGAGTTCCCCAGGGCTGTTACGACTCCCCCTTCCCGTGACTTTGTCTCAAAGCCTAAATTACTTTTTCCGGGACTCCACGCAGCACGTGCACGTGTGGCCAGAGGCCATGCAGAGGGCGCGCAGCCGGAGAGACGCTCGTAAACAAGTGGAGGACTGAGAGAGGAGATGATCCGTCGAACAGACAACAGCGCCTTGGAGCACAAAGTGCACTGGTTTGTTCCAATTACGATAATATCAATAGCAAGTGGCTCGTTGATTGTTTCAGTGTCCAGGTGGGCAGCTCTCGGGCAGCCGTTGTGAAGCCTCGAGCCAACAATTCCGCCAAATGTTCGGCTTGCCCCGACACCACAGGAACTTCTGACGCAGATTCCAGAAGCTCTGCGTGCTGGCAACAATTCAGCTGCTTGTACACTTGATTTCAAACATGCATTCCAGTGGCGGGCCGCCGAAGAAGAAGACCACCCCACGAGCAGCCTGCGGGGCCCGAAGCATGCGATCATCGGCGTGAAGCTTGTTGTTTCTGTACTCTGCGTCTTTCCCGAACCTTCTAATCAGTATTACAATTTTGCCTGTTGAGTTAGTTGGACTCATGATAGTCCAAAAACGCAAGAAAGATGGCATTGAGTGGCTCTGCACCTCCACTCTCGCCAGCCCCGTGGACCAACAAGTCGCTTTGACTAGTAGATGCCGATTGAGGTCATCATCGAAGGCGAGTGTAGACACATTTTCAGGGCGGCAACGTCACGTTGTTTCCTCTGGCAGGAGTCTTTCCTGCAGAATGTTTCGTTTTTGTGGAGCATACAATGGCCTACTTTAATCGGCGGGGGTGTTGAGCAGCACAGGGGGGCATGTGCAGACGGTTTCTGCAGAGTTTTCCGCAATTCTAACATTTCTGCCGCTTTTTTGTTTTCAACTCGGCCCTCCCAGCTGTACGCCAGCGCCGCTCACCCGGAAGAATGGGTATATTCTTCCGCAACCGCGAGGAGGACCTGGCGGACCCCGATTTGAGGGCGTCCCGATATTTTCTATTTAAAAACAAACAAACAAAGGAAAACAAGCTTAAAATTGCCGAGAAAAAGTACGGCTACACTTTAGGCGAACTGCATGCGTATAAACATGTGATGATTCCGCCGCGAATGCCCGAACCTATGCAGCAGGCCAACCCGGAGATGGCGTATGCTTATGACCAGATTCAGAAACTCGTTGAGGTTGACGTGTACGAACAGAAGACGGAGAATCACTTTGCGACGAGTCCTCAGACTAAGTTAGGTAGAAGCTCTCCCAATTCTCCCAGCACCGAAGTCGTTTCCGCAACTCCTGCAGCTGCAAAGAGAGCCATTTCCGAACAGGGCCATGGGAACAGTCTCCCTGACGCTGTGGACGAGTCATGCATTAAGTGCCTCGGCTATTACTTGGCACTGGACAGATGCGTTCGAGCGGTGTCCAAGAAAGACGAAAGAAACAGGATCTACAAGCATACCCGTCTTCACGCATGCAAACCACACTGGGTAATTTGTACTGCGTGGCAGTGACTATCACTGCGTAGCATCATATCTATATCAATACAGTATATCCATGTTCGGAAGAATCGCGTAATCGCGTATTCACGTGAAATGTGAGGCCGAGGCCCTCTTCGTCCGTGGTGGATGCGCTCGTGGTCCTGTCTTCAGATTTGGTTTAACAGATGCGTTGCCTACCGGGACCAGCAGTTAATGAGAGAAATCCATTCATGGGAAAGGGAACACTTCGCATCTTTGGGCACTAAGGAGAGGTACGATGTTTCACTGTCTGTTCGTGTGTTCTAGTGCGAAGCCGTCTAAAGTATGTACGCAGATCATGGATGGTTTTAAGGGACCATTTAAAATTTGTAAACTGCGAGTCTACGCACACCTTGTGTACCAATGCTCTCCAGAGTTCAATGTTGGCCGCGTGTGTGTACGGTCCGACCTGAGCCGCTGCCTGACCCGTCTTGCGTCCATTTGTTTGCTTATTGATTTCTTTGTTGAATGTTGAAATTCTCATTGTGTGTGCAATAGGGAGGAATATGTGGAGAGGCTGCGGGGGACGAAAAGGTATCTCGAAGTAGGTTGTGGGTATCTTTTGTTTCTCTCCAGACGCCCCTGCTGAAGGTGGCTGTCCAGGGTACCTTGGCCATTTGCATGCACTTCGAGTCCCGGCTAATGCGGTGATTTCATGCAAATATACGGAACTGACGGCGTGCACCTTAGTGCCATGAGGGGTGAGTGCGTATGTGGAGCTGTTTTTGTTCCCCGGGTTTGTTTTGCCTGCAGTACGCGGTGGCCCGTTCTCGTGATGACGTGGATGTTGTGAGGTAGGTTTCATGCTGCATCCGGCATAACTGTTTAGATTTTAGAGCTTGGCGTTCACGTTGTTGCAACGCTGTTGCCGCACGCCAACTGGCAGCCCATCCTTTTCGAAGTTCTGTACCACGGTAACTGGGAACTAACTGGCTGCATTTATGCACTTTGTTCCATACGCACGCAGGCTTAAGAGAGAGGCAAGCCATATTACCGCTAGGTTAGACAAACTAAGTGGACAACGTGAAGCGCATTGAGAAGGCTTCGTTGCCCCTCACCGCAGCGGGCGTGGGTTGGCCTTTCGCTCCGGAGAACTGCGTGTTCTTCCCGAACTGTGCATCCGAAATACGTTTATGCTGCAAGCCGTTCATGGATACTGCAGCTAATGGCTTGCCGTGTGTTCGGCACTGCCGCCCCTTGCTACCCATACAGCCTAGGCATGTAACGAAGCCGCCCCCAAACGTAGTGCTCAGTGTAATTTACGTTTGGACAGACTTGAAGCACTTCTGTATGCAGTATTTGTGTGCAGAAGTACTGCTGCGCGTAGTGCTTGCATTGTTTGTATGTTCGCGTGCATGTGGATGGGCGGCCGCGAGCAGAGACACATTCTTCTGCTGCGTACAACAGGAGCAGCAACAAACATGAGAGTTGTATTATTGCGCCTCTGAAGCCTGAAGTTGAGTAGGCCTGAATGCAGTTGCCCAAATCTCAGCAGAATTTCCGGTTGCAGCGGCAAGCTTAGCTTCCCCTCGGCAAAGTGCCCTCTCGCTGCTGAAAGTACTGTCCCCAAGGGACATTCCTGCTGCATGGATGTGTGGGCGTGCGGGCTCCCTTGGAGACAGCGACGAGTCTAGTAAGCTGGGCTTAGTCTGGACCGTGAAGCATCAACGAGCTGTCACTGAGACCACGGCGCGTTTGTGAATGCTAGAAGGTGCACCACCTCTGCAAAGCAACAGTGGTCTACCTGGTTGTACTAGAGGCACGCCTTTCTGTGCTGAGCACAGAAAGGCGATCAGCACATTGTGCCCGAGTACGTCGTTGGTTTCCCCAGCTCTTCTACTCCCTGATACCTGTGTAAAGTTGAAACAGAGGCTTCGTTGCATCAGTGTTCGGCGTACTCTTCGGAGTTTGAGTGTCTGCTCTGCACCATTCTACGCACGTTGGCAGTTACTTCTGAGTTCCGGCCAAGTTGCTTCAGGAATAAGGTATTTGCGAAGACACTGGGCTTGAGCCTAAATGAATTTCTGCTCAACCTTACCTCGTAAGGGGGTATTCGATTGTTGGATGGGCAAGCTACGCTCTGCTGTTTGCACTCCTGATTGCTGCAAATCCCCCGCTCTTCAGTGTGCGCCAAGAAGCCTGAGGTGAAATGAGAATGCTCGTGCTTGCACTGGTGTTTCCGGCCCTCAATTATGCAGTTTCGTGTTACTGATACACCCTACTGCTACGAGGAGGACCTCCCGTCAAAGTAATCCCCGTACCTTAGTATGCGGGTTGAAACTGTTACATGGATTCGTGAGGTGACTGAGGTGACTTGAAATATTTCCTGCTAGCTGCACGAACTACTCACCAGCCTAACACCGAGCAGTCGACAAAATCTCAAGGACATTTCAACTCCCAACATAATGCTGTTTCCCCAAAGCAATTGGTCTTCGGGAGCCCCCTGACTCGTTTGGCAGCTGCACCCGCTTGCAGCAGCTAGTAACACCGGCTGCCGGTGTTACTAGCTTGGCGATCATTCACCCACGGCGCAAGAGGCTTGGTGAACGCTCTGTTGTGTGGGTGCTCCGGCAAAATTGCGTGCGTGCGTAGGTCCCCTCCACACACGCGAAGCACACCACAGGCATGCTAGCTTCTGCTACATGCAAAGTACACAGCATTTGTTGAACCTGAAGGTTTGAAGACTCCGGTAGGCATTTCATCCAAAACTGAGGAGCCCGTGAACTAGCCGGCGACAGGCATAATTCACGGCACCGGCTGGTCACTGCAACTTGCTACTATTCCACTCCGTCGGCAAGGGCTCAGTCGAACTGCAGCAGTTCACGAAACACGCAAAATGACTTCTGTTGAAGACTCCCTGGACTATGAACAAAGTTTGGGCTATTTACCACGGAACTCCATTTGCAGGACACCAATAGCCTTATATTCAGGGGTAGATGCCGTCGGATTCGTGCACGTTACTGGCATGCTGCGTGTCCACTCGCAACCAGCTGCCTGACAGGAATTCACAGGAGATTGCTCACCACCGTATCTCCATGGGGATCCATTCAACTTTGGTACAACGCTTCCCTCCCAGATGCTGCTGGGGCGCCTCTGACGCCCTTTGATAAAAGACTTCGCGTTCTGGTAATCAGAATGGTTCTGCTCTGCAGTCTGTGGAAAATTATCTACTCGTTCGCTGTTTGCCAGTGCAGATAAGTACATCAAGAAGGGAAGTGCCTGAGCTGCAAAGAGCCTTCGCCGTACGTTTTCGAACGCCCTGCGCGACAACACACAAGACAGAAGCGGCCGAGCGTGCCCCGTGCAACCGTACATCAAAGCCATTGAAAAAATGACGGTGCAAGTGCATGCCTAAAGCACGTTCATTTAAGGATGAATGGACCAATACTCAGTCTCACCGCACAAGCATTATGGCGAACAAAGCGTAGAAGTTGCGACTTAGCAAGTAGAAAGCCACAACCCTGAATTCCCAGCCCTTGGCGCACACGACCACTGTCGTCACCACAGCCGATCCAGCAGATATAATGACAATAATTGCCTCCGGAATGAGTCGGAGATGCACAGTGAGGGCAATGCTGAACAGTGGAAAAATCAGATGGCCTGTGCACAGGAAAACGTGGACTGAACCACCACATCGAAACCGGTGGCCAAATTCGACGGAACCCCAGAGAAGCATGTTCCACAGCGCAGCAATGCCTGGAAGCGCCATGTACTGTATTCAAACTAAACCTGTTGAATAGTACTAGAATCTCCCGCAATCGATATCGGTGCTTTAAGCACCAACTGCAGAAGGCCGCATTACACGTTAGTAGCCCTGCTCCAGTACCAAACCTACCATGAGCCTACACTTACCGCCAACCAGAAACGCGAAAACCGTCCCTTTGAAAGTTGCCTCTTTTGTGTTCACAGGCACTGGTGCTAGGTTGGAGCATCTTTCCAGCAACTCAAAAAACACGAACGCCATGCTGCAACAACCGCGTATACATTCATCTAGATGCTATGTGCAGATGCCAATCGAACAGCCTTCATGTGAACTTGCTCGTTTGTCGCTCTTTAAAAGTACGAGACAAACCACGGGACGGGAAGTGCCTACTAGGTCGTTGCCTGCCCGGCAGCCAGAAGCTGAAACTTCCAACCGTCTTTCCCCCTGCGGCTTCCCATGAATTTCATAGGCACAATAAGAGCCGAAAGTATTGCGAACTGGAGCAGCGGCCGCCAAAAGGCAGCCAGAATCCTCACCAAAAACTTCTGCAGGCGAGTACTAGAAAAACTCAGGTTGGCAACGTTGCCAACATCGTACTTCTCGACCTAGGCACAGTAGTACAGCAACACGAAATGCATCAAAAGCATTGCATCCGCGAGGGTCACAAACACATGACCTTCCTCCAAGTTTCTCTGGAAGAAAATGCTAATCACACCACCTTGTGCAGCTACAACTTCGGTGTGTGAGCCCGACAGTGTAAACCTTTGCTCACCACCACGAAAAGACAATCCACGAAGCATCGTTTCGTCATTGCTAGAACGCATTGCAAAGCGCACATAAACAAATTTATGTGGCATGTTCCCTTGTAGAAGGCCACAATGTACTCAGCCCGCCAAAGGAGGTACCACCGTTCAACTGCACTATCCTCGAAAACCCCCAGTTTTATTTTAGGCATGACCGCCTGAAACAGCAACAAGCAACAATGAGCTCATTAGACGGCTGAGAGAGACGACAAATAACAAGCGATCGGTCATAACACAAGCAGATATACCTAAGAAAAATATGCATACTAACTGAACCGACAAAGCCGCAACTGCAAGACAAATAAACCGATTGCAACATCGTCAGGTGAACAAACGATACTAAGGAGTGGAAAGCGTCGTTTACAAAGCAGGCAGGGGAAGCACAGCAATGAAAAATCAGGGTCGGGCAAACAAAGAAGAAGTATCTTAAAAATCGAACAGGGGACGCAACGCAACCAGTTACAGTTAGGTGCCGACAATGAAGACTGAAGAAGGCCTGGCATCAGGCAGGAGCCCATGAAGGATGACATGTAGTCACAGAGAACGACACGAGGAAGCATCAATCAGCACCACCAGACTACAGCAGACGCCAGCCACCAGGCAATGACAAGGCACGGGGGAAGGTGGATGATGCCGTTCAACAATAGGCAAGAAGCAATCACCCAGGGAAAAACAGCCCAGTGAGAAACGCAAAACAATACCAGCAAGCACTTCAACAAAGTCAACACACGTCGTCACGTCCTCACATGAAAAAGGTGAGCATGCAGGCTTCCATAATTTCACACGGCAACCATTTGCACCGCAACCAAACAGTTACTTCCGCTTCCTATTCTGCCGCACCTCTTGTCCGCTTCCTCTGGTGGTGCTCCACCCTGCTTCCCGTTCGACGCCATGACCTTCCACATCCAGCGGATGTGGCACGCAACCACACAGGTGCCTTCCTCCATGTAAGGGCAAAAAATGCTCATGTGTACTTTTGCTCCCCAGCTTCACCCCTTCGCCGCCCTTACGGCGCATCGTGGACTTGGAGTTAGTCACAAATTTGCCTCTCGCCCCCACAAAGCATTCCGGCCCCTGAGGTGATCTGCAAGGCCCCACTGGATTTAGTTTCCACCTCAGGGATCTCAGCCCCAAAGCGCGCCTTGCTCGTTCGCCTTTTATGGGATTCTGAACTCCATGCGCATGCACACACACACACAGAGGAGCTGACGTCCGCTTCCATACGGCCTGAGCACCAGTGTTTATGGAAAGTATGGCATGAAAAGAAAAAGCATAGTCTGAACAAACCAACTGAAAAGAACAACACCTGGCCTTTCAGATAGTAGAGACCAGAGAAGGACTCCGGCGGTTTGCTGAGTTCGCGCGGCTGAAGGCTCCACAGACCTGGGATAACGTTGCAGCTGCTTTAGACACGTCTACCTCAGCATTGCATCCCTTGCCATCTTCCAGTATAGGCAGTTGGGACTTTCCACCCTTGGGAATACGAGGCGATTGCTGCGTGCTTCCTGCTGAGGTGCAACCGTCACGGGAACAGTGTTCGGTGTAGAAAGTGTGAGATACGGGGGAGGAATACCACGCGACGGCACAGTTCAGGTCAAAATGCACGCGGGCTGAACATACTGTGGCAGAAGGAGCTGGGGAATTTCGGGCACTGCACAATTCAACTCTGCTAGGTATCACCTTTCGCCCTCCCACCCCACTAATAAAAGGGAGGCAGAGAATGCCTTTAAACGCTCCCGGTAATCTCACGTCCAGGTACCAGTTGCAATCCACGTAACCGTAGTAGCCCCTTGGCACAACGAAGAACTGCTGCTCGCCTTCCTCCCTCCAAATGCCGGTGTCTTCTGAAATTAAAAAGACACAAAACTCACTCAAGAAAGACTCGAAGAGGCATAGACTTGGACTGCGCGAGGCTTAGATCAAGGATACGAGCACTACCCGTTTTCATCAGGCCGGAGATCCACCTATTTTTGTGACGCATCGTGGTTCGCCGTCCCTGTGCAGGGTCTGACGGTGGTGCACAGCTTGCAAGTAGAGCGGCAAGTAGGTATCAAAATGTGTCCAGTAGCGGCGCATCCCCTCACTGGGAGGCACTGCCCCAGAGCAGCCGTTTAGTTTATCTCCTCGGAGACGGAAGCTCCCGTGATTGCACACGGATGGCGGTTCGAGTGGGATGGCTTCCGCTCGGGCTGTGGTTTGCTTCTGGTAACAGCGGATGTTAAGAGGGCGAGTTGAGTCTTTGGCTACAGCCCTGTAGGGACCAATGAACCTTCCCCTTTCCATTCTACGGACTGCGCTCCTAACAATTGGTGGACAGAGAGGAAATGACGGGCCTTTGGCTTCCCCCACCTGACGGTGAAATACCTGCACGATGCAGTATCCCACGTTCCCTATGACCACTGCCAGGGATGAGCCCAACAACTTCAACACTAGTATGCCCAACGGCAGAACTCCCCATGCGAGATCCGATACTGTCATAACAACCAGTGCGACACCTTCACACAAACACAGTGGGTCTACGCAATGGTCTCCTCATACTGAGGTGTTCCTCTCTCACTGATGCAAACATAGCCTACTTACAACAGCACTACACTGGCCAAATATCAGAGCAGTCTGCAGTTCCCTAGTTTGCAAATACAGCCGAGAGGTACTGCAACCACATAAAGAAGATTGCATGCAGGACAACGTACCACAAAAGACATGTGTCATGCACGACCGGCGGCCGTTGAAGAAGGCGATTCCCACGAGACACATCTGAAGCATGGTAAAATCGACGAAGCCGAAGGGAAGAACGGAACGAGGTACAACAACACAAGCCAAACTGAAGAACAACAGCCTCCATTCGGCCTTCTCCGTGTTGAGTAAACGATTCACATACCACAATAACACGCACAAGCTGAACACAACTCCCCAGGTGACGAGAATCGCTGCAGATACCGCACGGTAAGCACCCCGGAAATAAATAACCAATGGACCCTATAGTGTCAAACAGATATAAGCCAACTAAACTGAGAAGTCCTACATACGTTTAAGGAGTAAATAATGAACACCTACCACAATCAATCCATGGGGATTTTCCCGCCTGGCTGAACTGACTGGAGACGAACGCAAGACTTGAATTTAGCACCATAAGAAGTGCTAGGGAAATGAGCCAAATATGCAGATCTTCCGGTCTTAAAAACGGGCCTGCGTCGCCCAAATCCCCACCTCTTGTCATTTTCAGGTCCGTGAGTGTCTCGATTTAGGTAAGTTCTCTAGGGCCCGTGCCAAGGATAAGCATGGGGTCGTCGTCCCATTGGAGTTTCCCAGACTGTCCCTTCCAACTTAGCGGCAGCCACCTATTGCGTTCTGTATCATACCCATAAGACACACGAGTTAGAGCAGCATGCCCGTGTACACCCTGCCTACGCAATCCCAAAACCTTCCCGGGGTACAGGGACTTCCCTTGAAATATCCACTACAGCGTGTGGGTAAGTTGCCAACTTCCCAGTTTACCCCTTATTCTTCCCTCTGCCGCACTTGAATACTGTTGAAGGGTGGGGAGTTCTCCACCTTCTGAATCCACGGTGCAGTTCAGACTCCCCTTCGGACTGACTTGAAATCCACCAGCTGTAATGGAGGACTCAGCTACTTACAGGAATTAACAAAGTGGGAAAGGGATTGTTAGTGTCCAAACGCACCGTTGAATGTAGCAGTGACCACTGGTCTTTGTTCCCCACCGCAACTCAGGGTGTTCTGATTTGCCTCGAGCAGAATCTACACACTCCCGCCAAGAACGCATCGAGAGAGTGGGAAGGAATTGCCAGCATCATAAGCTGGATGAATTGAAAGAAAAGTGCACGTGGGTTGGTAGCGGAGTTCTGAAGCTCCGAGTGGTGAAGGTGTTTGCTTCTACGCAGGGCACTGGCTGCTCGCCACCCTCCTGTATGGAAAGGGAATCTCAACTTCTCAGCAAGCCGCTTTCACCTCACCCTTTCACTCTACATATTGATTGTGCAGACATAGTTAATTCAGAGTGGGGGAAAGTTCAAATTCTGTCGAAATGAACCTCTTCGACGCCTCCCTTAAACACGAGGCGCCAACAGCGTCATGCTGCCAGGTGCCCGTGTACAGGGGAGAGCGTTACACACCACGGCAAAACGGCGTTGTGACTCCAAACCGTCCTACGTAGATGCATTTTACCTCGCAATTTGCACATCTGTTGAATATAACGGCCATATGTCTCAACCTGGGGGCCAGGCACTGCAGAGGAGCTGCTTGTGTGGGGTACGGATGTAACGGTTCACCCGCATCTTTATGCATAACCCACTACAGTGACAATTGACCATGATGTGAAGACTGTTGGAAATGGTAATCCCCGTACTGCTTGGCAGAGTAAAGTTCAATGGGGTCACCGACCATACGGTAAGAAAGTGGATAACAAAGGGTAGCCCGCGAACACCCCGACACTATAGAATGGTTAGCTAGACATGCTTAAAAGTGAAAACAGAAGGTCTGACAATCAAGAGGCCCACGCATTCAGCACACGCTGGTGTTCTTTTCATTTCTGCAGGGTTTCGTGACACGCACAAGTGGGCCGATTCTAAAGCAGCTTAGGGAGTGCACTTGGATGCACCAATCTCCTAAGGTCAGCACAGGGAAAGAAATGAGCCAAATCAATCCACACACTTCACCGTTATTCCTCACAGCGCATATGCTTACTGCGCGCCTCTTAATGTGTATGAACATTTCCTAATTGCACTCCAATGCGGCATCCCCTGATAAGAGGGATTCCTGGAGAATGCACCGAGTTTGCTATTTCCGTTAATCCGGCGGGGTCCAGCCCCTGTTGGTTTCTCTACGTAAAGGAATCGCTGTGTACTACAATACGTGGAAGTGCCACGGGCCAGCCGATCAGTCAGAGACTTGGCGGGCTGTAGGCCTGTTGTATGACGGAAGGGGCAGTTAGGCAGCCTTCGTCACCAGCAGAGATAGAACTTTCTGCAGGCTGGGACCCACAGTGATTTCGCTCTGTTCTTATTGCACACAGGTTTTGCACTCTTTGGCTGTTCGCCAGTACGGACAAATACATAAGGAAGGGCAGCACCTGAGATGCAAAGAGCTGTCGTCTGACGTTTTCAAAAGCCCTGCGCAATATCGCATGAGCAGCCGATAAGACTAAGGAACGAATAATATAATTAAATACAGTATAGACGGCTTGCAAGCTCATACAGGCACCCGGATGAACAAATACATCAAACAACAGAAGCCTAAATGGGAGGATCCCTTTGCAGCTAGATTCACTAAAGAGAACAGTAACAAGGCAGTTTGTCCTTACCTGGCCACCATGATGACGAAAAGCGCATACAAAGTGCGGCCGAGCATGAAGAAAGCCATGATTTTGTAATCCCAGCCTACAAATGTCAACGTAACTACTGTCACTACGGCAGACCCAATGCAAGTAAATAGGATTGCCACTTCAGGGATGCGTCGCAGATGGACTGTTAGGGCTATGCTAAACAATGGGAGTATAAGGTGACCTGCACGAATGCATGCATGCACCGCCAGAGGCTTTATACATGCATGCATCCACTAAAGCATATCGGAACAATGAAACTTAACGTTTTACGCTTCCTCTTGAACTGCATGCAGAAAGGGACGACTTGCAGCTTGCAGTCTCTCTCAACATACTGCCAAGGACGAAATTGAGCTGAACTCCTTGGGGAACTCTCGTCGCCTCTGTAAAGAACCGTCGTGTGGCCATTACGAAGCAGCTCTCCAGCAGTTCAGAAAACATGAAAGCCACGCTGCAGGCACGCATGGCAACAGCAGCGTGAGCTGCATAAATAAAAAGAACTGTAGCTTCGACCAGGTTTGGGTACTCTTCACAATTGTATTCGTGTGCAAACACGGTCGAAAGTTCTGTACGCGGCGGCAATTCATACTAGGTCACTGCCTGTCCTAGGGCCAGAAGTTGAAATTTCCAAGCATTTTTGCCCCCGCGTCTATCCATTAGTTTCATGGGCAAAACAAGAGCCGAAAGTAGCACAAATTGGAGCACAGGCCGCCACAAGGCCGACAAAGTCCTTCTCCCCGATGGCATCTGCATGCGCAATCCGAGGAACTCCCCGTGTACTGCATTTTGGCCGTCGGATCTTTCAACCTGTGGAGAAAAGAAAACAATACTCGTGCCATCAGCATATATGCTAGAAGTTGCCTGCAAAAACTACGTAGGATACGCATACAGGTTTATGTCTCGAGTGCTAGGGCGCACTACAATCGACAAGCTAGCAGCAGAACGTGCACTGCGCCCTTACTGCCAGAAAAAGGCACTGGGTGACATATGCTTTCGCTATCCCGAAAAGGCACTGCAGGGCGCAGATGAGCAAATTTAAGTGGCATGTTTCCTTGTAGAAGCCAACGATGTGGTCAGCCCGCCACAGGATATACCACCGTTCAATTGCGCTGTCTTCGAATATTCCCAGCTTAAGCCTAGGACGAACCGACTGGGAAGGAAACCGCAACAACACACACGTGGGAGGCGTCTACAAAAGTGACAGTGCAGCTCATGCGAGTCGTCTAAGCCAGATACCCCTACTGCCCTCCTTGCTACTCTTCCTTTGGCTCAGACCTTCTCGCAGATTGGGCAGCCGTTGGATCGTTCTTTGCCCTTTTCTCGCTGATGGTTCTCCGCAGAGCAAAGATGACGCAAACAGCTACACCACTGGCTGTCGTCCTGTGAGCAAGGGCTGCGAATAGACACGAGAAACCAGAGGCATCTTATGTGTCCAATAGAGGCTTTCGCTCAAGCGAAGTAAGCGTGGTGGCGTACTTCTATAGCTTACCCATTCGGGCTCTTGCAAGGTTTTCTAGGTCCCATTGAACTAAACAGACACGCAAAACGCCTCCACCTGCTACAGGATTTGGATTTCTCCTTTTCCAAGGACGGTTGATTATCGCCCGCCTACACGCAGAACAAATGCAGAACAGGCATCCTTTCATTTTAAAAAACTGTAACTACGCGAATACAGAATTTTCATATTGGGGGCATCGCTAAGATATTCGACTGGGTTGGCCCACTTACAATGCCAGAGGAGAAACAATTAATGATTGGACTATGCGGTTACGACTCACCATCTGTGGAGAACGGCAAGAGGAAGCATTCCGAAGCATCTCGGGGGGAGGCTGTGGTGAGCTTTTGAGGACGTTTGTTCCAGGTGTGGTTCTTTCATTAGGCTGGAAGCTACCCTGCTGTACATGAAGTCGTAGCCCCCTTTTAAAAAGAGGCAGCACTCTGGAAATCTCGTTTGAGTTGCAGCCGTCACTGGGGCTGTGTTCAACAGACACTGCGGCAGAGAAGAGCCACCGGTGCCTTGCCGTTGCATCGACGGAATCATACCCTGTAACGGCTGAGTAGGCCAGAGCAGGAAAATCTACGCACGCACTAGCCCCGTTTGGTGCTTCGCGTTCAGCAAGCGGAAGGACACAAGCCATAGCTTGCCTACCTTTCATTCCATACCCATGCGAACGAGAACACTTCCTTCCAACAGCTTCTGGTAACCGGATATCCAGGTACCATTCGCAATCCACGTAACCGTAATGACAACTTGGCACTACAAACAAACGAGCCTCCTTTTCTTGACTCCAAACACCCCTATCTTCTGAATGGAAAAGCAAAAACGAGTTACGGACGACTGACGTGGACACCCCCGCATTATCGCAGCAAGGCAGAATAGTAATCAACGCGCAGCTGCCTGCAGCCTCTTTTTCTGGTTTGGATCAAGGGAAATGGTGTGGAGGTAGTTTCTACAAACGGGATGTTTGGTGCAGGCAACATTTAGGAGAACGTCATCTGCTCCTTCTGCGTTAATAAGGTGTCTCTTAGGAACCACTCCTGCTAGGGAAGAGATTTACCGATTTTGGTGACATAAAGCAGCATGTCATCCTTCCACAATGTGAGCCGGCGCTTTGCTGCCTGGAAAAAAAGGGGTGTGAAGCTGTCGATCCTTGTCCAGTAGTGGCGCACGCCTTCCCTCGTGCATGACCCTGCTCTCCTATAGGAAAGCTTTGCTCCTGAGCAGGATGCGCCGATCCTATGCCGTGTCGGCCGGAAGTGCCTCTGCTGGGCTGGGGTCTTTCTCAAGCGCAGGAGGTCACCCGCGAGAGCAGGCAGTTGACGACGGATGCGGTGGGGAATAAAGTGCCTCGTTTGTTTAAGTCGAGGCTTTGGAGAGCCAGTGCACTTTTTGTTGTCCCTACAGTCAGCACTTATCCCTAGACATGCGAAAGTAGGCAGTGAAGAGCCTCTTGGCTCCTGCAGTTGTTTGTAAAACACCTGGACCATACGGTAGCCAAGGTATCCAATGACAGCACCAATAAATGACGAGAACGACTTCAGCACAACGAGCAAAGGAGGCATAACTCCCCATACAAGATCCGAGATTGTCACTGCCGCCAGAAGGAAACCTTAGTACAAATGCAGCAACTACACACCCCTCATGCACCACGTGGGAAACTAGAGACATAATGCATTCCTTCTGTTGTTGCTGCACACTCTACAAGCGATTCAAAGTCTGTAGAGCTTACGAAGTCTTAGAAGCATACAATGTCCAGCACAGCATTTGTATAAAGGAAGTAAATGCATAACTTACCGCAACAAGCATGTGTTTTCCAGGAGAGATGTTCAACGCAAAAGTTGAACCCGATGAAACACATATGGCGCATGGCGCATTCACCGAAACGAAACGGGAAAAGGGAACGCGGCAGGAGAATTGAAACCAAAGAAAAGTAAAGAAACCTCCACTCCGTCCGCTCGTTGTTAATCAGTCTTGCAAAAGACCAAAGTAGGACAGATGCGCCAAAAACGATTCCCCAGTTCACCAGAATTGCTGCATGAATAACAAAAGAAAGAACCTGAAAGAAGTGACTCTAGGGAAACAATGGAAGGCAAACTGAATAATGAGGTCACAAGTAAAGAAAAGCATATCAGCAGGTGTCTACTTGCCAAATTCAATCCAAGGTGGATCATTAGGTGGGAGAAACTGGTTGGAGGCGAAAGAGAAACTCGAAGCCAGTACCATGAGAAGTGCAAGAGAAATTAACAGCATGTGAATATCCTCCGGCCTTATGAACGGAGTACCGCCCTTGCAATTTAACTTCCTCGTCATTTTCCCCCGGTGGAGTTGTCGAAGTTGCGGACGGTGAATGGCGCAGGTCTAGATTCGTCATAAACTTTTTGGTGTACTCCAAATTTATTTATCTAGCCTGTCTATGTCCCCCTATATAAGCTCAACTGCCGAAACACTAAAATGGTAGATTCGGGCCCCTCGTAACCAATATAGGAGGCATTTCCCAAGGAACTTCTGCACGCAACGGCGAGAGGGACAGTGATTCGTCCTTCCTCCCAGTATTTGCTCCTAACACGTTCCTACAGCTTCATGTTGGGAGGCAGATAGTATTTCACTGATGCAGCATGCAGTTTCAACCACTCCCCTGTAGCGCCTCTCTAGACCACTGGACGTCCAAGATGCAAGAAACATGTAGGTTTTTTTTCTCGGCCTCGTAATAAATGCCTTTAATTCCGCAAACACAAAGTTTTCTTCTAAAACGAAACTAGCTTCTCACAGCTTCAGAAAACCCCTGGTCCATTTCATTCGTGGGACCAATGCTTTCCCGTACACCAAGCAAGACAAACAACAGACTGGCGTCTGTAAGTCATCAGAGAATCAAACTCCTTCAAAATATACCCCACATAATACAAATAAAGGAGGAAATAGGGGTACTGGGAAAGGAGGAGCTGGGAGGAGCTGGGAGGAGCAAAAGGCACTAGCTGGGGGTTGACGCGGTGGGCAAGCGAGCCATGCTGGGGCACCTCGCGGGAAGCGTGCAATAACCTGTTCCGTGTACCCGCCAACACCCATTCTTCCCCTTTCTTCATTAATTATTGAGCCTTTTAACAATCAAAATCGATCTTAGTTTGGTGAGGAGGCTCATTGGCAACCAACTACCCATTTACTGCGTCCCAGCACCATTGTGGAATCCCAGTATCGATACGAAGGTAGACAATCCCCATGGAAACCTTCGCTTGCACTGAAAAAATCACCTTGTCTTGATAACATCCAAAAAAATATGCGCATTATTACTCCGTGTTGCTGCTGCGTTCTTGACGTTTTACAGACAACAACGCACAAGCACACCTGCGGCTGGATATGGGGAAGTAGCTCCTCCTGGTGAGAGCAAAACTTCAACTGCCGGCTATTTCATTTCTTTTCGAGCACGACTGGTGTTTCAGACTACAAAGCTAGGCACTGAGCTTGAATTTCTGCAGGCCGAAACAGCAGGCCCAGAAGTGTATAACTGCGCGGCGTACACTAGGAAGCATCCTGGTTACGCATAGTTCGGAACGGCAGGCCCACTCTTGTAGTTGCAATCTACTCTTCTGCCTGCTTGGACATTTTGCGTTGACTTGGCATGTGACTATTCCATATGTTGCACGCCTGCAGATGCGGACACTTCGAATGGTCTCTAAGTACCGGAGGCACTGAAGACACTAGTAATAGCTTGACAGAAGACGTTTTCCAGGCATAGCTTCTCCGCAAATGTTAAAACCTTTTTCATACCCCTTATGCTAGTGTGCGCTCCTTTATAATATTTTGTCTTGAGTGCACTCGAGTGGGCTATCTACGTACTGGGGCGGTCCGCTGTGCCTAGCCTACAATCTTGCTATGCTTCGCCTGAAACTTGAACTAACCACGCCAGTCCCGAGACCCATTTGTGTATTGTGGGGTGTCATTTATCATATGACCCCGAACGCCCCCCTCCGCTACCCGTACTGGTGTATGTGCACATTGCGTGTATGCTATGTAAACCATGATGAGCTAGTCTTCGTCCCGAACTCTTCTACGACGCTAATGTTTACGGGTTCCCATTCGTGCTCCGTCCAACTACCTTGCGTCATCTAAAATACCTTTATGGAAAAAGCAATGGTTTGATATGTTATGGGCCAAACAAACACGAGCTTGTTGTGCATGTAGCGCTCTAGAAGCTTGACGCAGCATGACGCTTGCGGAGCGCAGTGAGGTGAGCTGTATTGTGTGGGTGTTCTTTGATCCTTGTTTCTGAGGCTGCGCGCGACCATTTGCCAGCCAGTCAGCATGTTTGTTGCCAAAACGCATTCATTGCTTGGGGATATGCGAAAAACTCTGCAGGTGTTACGTCACGCTTCGGCATGACAAGACACAGACGAGTGGCCCCTTGGGTTACTGCCGCAAATTCGCCAGAAGGTTGCAGCACGGGGCCGCTGCAACTTCACGACAATACAGAAACACCGGCAAGAGGACTTACTCAGCTCGGAAAAAGTCTCCCCAGAATCGAGCAAACAAACTTCTTCCACTCTATCGTATGGAGATACCTAATAGATATGATACAGGCTATTCGCCACGCAAACTCTCGAAAGACAGCGCTACATTCGGTTTCACTTCCAAAGGTAAGCGGCAACATAACACAGGCGTACAGCCACCACACCAGGAGGACCAGGCGCACGTGAAACACAGTTTGCACGCTGAGGGTGGGAGCATGCAACAGTGAAGCACACATGGCGCCACTACCAGAGCAACTGAAACGAAGGTAAGCCAACTTCCATGCAGACAGGCACCTTAGCGAGAGCTGGCAGCCTCTATAAAAAGCCAACAAGGAGGAGATGGACGAGTAGATGAAGGGGTCAACAGAATGAGGAATTCAACTACTGGGAAGTGCCCCAAATCGCGCGGCTTCGTGCTGGGACTACGCCTACGACGAGTTCTGGGCAAATGGTAAGGAGCACAAGGTCTCGAAATCATGAGCATTGGCAGACGTATATCTCCGACGAAAACAAGAGAGTGTCGCGCTGAGGAATGTGAGCACACGACAACGGTCAGTTTGCCCCCGGAGTTTAATCGTTGTCTCTTGAAGCCCCATAGGCTTATTTCCGTTGCATCTGCTGCTCTGCGACACATGGCAGACCCTGAACACCGTCGTTTGTATCGACCCAGTATACATCTCGACGGTTAAAAGACTTCGAGCCCTTGCTTGCACAGCCACCAGGATTGCTTCCGTGTCATTTCTGCCTGCCCTTTACATTCCACCCGATATCTCCACCCCCAAAAAACCTTGCATTCAATCGGACTTGCGAAAAGCCCCTGTTTACTTTTGTTGGGTCCAGACACTCGGCGGCCAGGAGGTATCATATACGCTGCGCCTGGGCGGCCCTATCTCCCGCTAAGGCAAAGAACTTGCCTGCGCCTGCTGGTTGCCACAGTTGTCTCTCTCACGTCGGATACCACATAAGCTTTCCACACGCTGGCTGTTCGCCAATGTGGATAAATACATCAGGAAAGGCAGCACCTGTGTTGCGAAAAGCTGCCGCCTCACGTTTTCAAAGGCCCTGCAAGGTGAGAAAACATGCACTTATCAACAGGCACGAGAAAATACCTCAAGAAATTCAAGAACCCCTGACGAATATACTGGGAGACACCGCCACATGCACAACCTAACGCATTCAGGTGCACAAATGTTCTAGCCAAGATTCAAGCCGAAATAGAGCGCAAGACAGAGAGTAAGTCTTACCTAACTAGCATGATGGAAAAGAGGGCGTAGAGGGTACGACTGAGCATAAAAAACGCCGCGATCTTAAATTCCCACCCAACGAAAGAGAGGAATACGATTGTTACTAAACCAGACCCGGCAGAAATTACGACAATAGTAGCCTCCGAAATGCGTCTCAGGTGAACAGTGACGGCGATGCTGAAGAGTGGAAGGATCAGATGGCCTGTAAGTATGCATGCATGGAATACCACAACCGTAAAAGCAGATATTTCCCAAGAACAATTCATACTACCATCGCCAAAGTTGACTACGCAGAAAGGGTCATAAAGCTTTCTTTTCCTCCTGCCTGAGCTTACTCCCAACTACACACGTGAGCTCCACCCCTTTGGGGATTTTCGTCGCTGCTGTGAAGAGGGGTTCTGTCGCCATAATGTAACATCTGCCTAGCAGCTCACAGAAGGCGAACACCATGCTGCAGCAGGTACGCAAGCAAACAACAACATGAGCAGCATAAATTCGAAGCAACGCGAAAACAAAATGCTCAGAGACGGAGGAATGCGTACTATGTCACAGCCTGTCCGAGGGCTAGGAGTTGAAATTTCCAAACGTTCTTTCCCCCGCGGCTCTTCATAAACTTCATGGGCAAAATAAGTGCCGAAAGGATCGCAAATTGCAACACAGGCCGCCACAAGGCAGCCCAAGTTCTTGTCCACGAAGGCATCTGCGCGCGAACACCGAGAAACTCCAACTCGGCGGCGTTTGGTTCATTGTATCGCTCAATCTGCAAAGAAAGGAGGGAACCAACAAACATACTCCGTCGTCTTGTCATCGATGCCACAAGAAGCTATGAAAATGGCATACTGTATGGCGTCGACTTTTCTGTCTCCATCAAAATCCTTGGACCACCGACTGCTGCATCAAATCCCTTGTGAAACCAACTCTAGAAAAGCCTTGCAAAGCTTGCATGGTAAAAGCAACCAAACTAATATCGCTAGAATTGTAATTAACTCCTCGCCTACTGCCAAGCTAAGACACTCAATAACGTATCGCCGCGTCATTCCAAACAGGCATTGGAGGGCGCAGATGAGAAGATTAATGTGATAGATTTCCTTGTAAAAACAGATGATATACTCTGCCCGCCACAGGAGGTACCACCGTTCGATTGCACTATCCTCGAACACCCCTCCCTTTACCTTAGGCAGAACAACCTGCAGCAAAGGCAACAATAGCATGCGCGAAAACACAAACTAGATCTACACAAGTGCAAGACTGTAAGATGTCCGTGCAGTTTCGTCTAGCTACATGCATTCACATGTCATGACAAAAACTAAACTACTCCATAATATTTACCGTACCTCCTCTCGGCTTCCACTGCCGGTGTGCCGCTCGCTGTCCTCCCCACTGCGGCGACTTTCCCCAGCACAGGGGTGCCGCAGGCAACCACACCACCGAGCTTCCTCCTGCAGGTGAGGACTGCAACACAACACGGGGGAGAACAACAGGGGCGGTATCAGCCTAAGTGCACCTGCTGAGCATGTTTCAGACAGAACTAACCTACCAGCTTGAGCACTCAGCTGATTTAGCTGATCCGAACTTCCAACGGAGGCGCCTAGGCATGAAGAAACGCTTCCCGCCTTTCATGTGAGGACTCCCCCGACGCGCGCACTTCTGTACACAATTCAATGCTCACCACATCCATGCAACGGCTGGTGAAGGCAATACCTAAGCGGGTGTCTAATACGGACACCTTAGCATATCACGACGAATTCAACTCACCCCTTGATGACAAGAGTGTGGTGGACCTGCTGGCAGAAGGTGTTCTTTGGCTGGCGTCGGTTCCTCTTTATGAGGAGGACACGAAAAATAAAAACGCTGCACTGGTGCGTCGGGCGCGCTCGTGCCACCGTTGACGTTCTCGGCTGGCTGGGGGCCATCGTATTGCTGCAAGATTGCATTCTGCTGAGTGCCCAGAGGGGGACTGCCATTGACACAGTTGGAGAGAATGGTAGCGCCTTCTCCTGATCTACAGGTGTCACTGGGACTGCGTCCAACGGATAATGAATTACGAAAGAGAGTTGGGTACCGCTTCACGGCTGTGGTAGAGTCAATGCTTGCGGGGGCTGTATAAGCAACTGCGGGAGGATGGATGCTCATAGCAGCCCCGTTAGGGGTTTCGCAATCGGGAGTTCTGCTTATGGCAAGACGCGCTTGCCTGCCTTCTACAGAATTACCTGAAGAGCAGCAAAGGGAACTTTTGTGTGTGCCAGGTAACCTCATGCCCAGGTACCACTTGGAATCGACGTAGCCGTAGTGGCATCTCGGCACAACAAACAACTGCGGTTCCTTCTCCTTATTCCAAACGCCCGAATCTTCTGGATCAATAAGGCAGCAACAACCAACACAACGAACACGAAAAACAGATAAATGCCCGAATGTCCCTTGAAACCAGGATGTAGGGTTTGCATTTTGGGGTCTACAAGTCCAAGTTTATTCTTGCAGGGCCAATCAGCGTTTACCGATTTCAACGACATATCGCAACATGTCGTCTTTGCACAGGATAAGGCGGCGGTGTACAGCCTGAAAGTAGAGCGGGGGGCAGTTATCCAGTTTGGTCCAATAGCGCCGAGTTGCCGCCGCATTAGGAATCATGACACTCCTTCGTGAGAAACCCCGCATGGACAAAGATCCCCCCAGGTTGTTCCTAGTGAGCCGCAAGTGTCTTTGCTTAGCGGAGAAGGGATCCCGCGGACGCAGGAGTTCGCAGGTACGGCCAGTATTTTGATGCTCATAAATGCATGGAAGGAGGGAGTGCACCGCTTCGTTCGTGGCAGCCTTCCGGGAATCAGCAAACTTAATCGACTTGTCTCGATAGCCAGCACTTGAACCAGTGAGCGCATAAAAAGGCCGAACTGGACGCTTTGCCTCCCTCAGCTGCCTGTAGAATACCTGCACTATGCGATAGCCTAGATTTCCAACTAGCACTGTTACAACAAATGCGTAAAACTTCAGCAACGCAACGAAAGGAGGCAGTATCTTCCAGGCAAAATCGGAAATAGTCATTAGTATCAGTGTGAGGCCTAGTACAGCAAACACAGGCACTGCATGTACAGGATATGAGTATACAGGGAACAAACTGCAGCCCGTGCCTCCATATCACTCTTGCGATACTTGGTTTTGTGTTCTATAGACATAAATAGGAACCCCGCAATTCCATGACTAGTTGTGCTCCCCATAGTTTTGCTCAGTAGTTGCCTATGCACATCTTTTGCATGCGCTGAATTCTGCCGAGGGTTGCGTACCGCAGACGGCGTTTGTTTTCCAGCAGACATGGTCATTGAAGAAGTTGAATCCCATTAGACACATCTGGTGCATCACATACTCGCCAAAACGAAACGGAAAGCAGGACCGAGGCACGAGGACGGAGAACAAAGACAGGTAGAGTAGCTTCCACTCCGTCTTCTCGCTGTTAAACAAGCGCGCCAAAGACCACATTATGACGCACGCGGCGAAAACAATGCCCCAAATCACGAGGATAGCTGCGAAGCAGAAAACGCACATGAAACCCTTCCCACACAAATCGCCGGAGGCAGGCAAGCAGAAGCGAATAAAGATAAGCGGAAACACTGCAGTATGCTTTGCATGGTGCTTTTAGATAAAATATACTTACCGAAATCGATCCAAAGAGGGTCACCTGCTGGGCTGAATTGAGCGGAGGCGAAAGAAAGGCTCGAAGTCAGGACCATGAGTAGCGCAAAAGAGATGAGCCACACGTGCAAGTCTTCCGGCTTCATGAACGGTATCCCGCTTTCACAATTCCCACCTCTCGCCATCTTCAGTCCTATGCCTTCTCTAGGACTTAGGAGTGAGGGCTTTGCCTAAATTTTGCACCGCCTTCTTACCGAGGCATTCTCGACTGCCCCCGCCAACACAGCAGGAACCATCTGTCGACCCTCTCAACCCCTCCGGCCAAATACAAAGGAGTGAAGGTGCGCAAACAGGTGTGTGGGCTATTTGGAAAGCCGAAGCTACTCAACCGAGCCATGGGGCTCCTCTTGTTGTTGCCTGCAGCCTTCCGCCGGACAGGTAGCGGACTGTCTTTCTACTGGCGGTATGGTCACAGCCCTTCGCAACAGTTGCAGATTCAGGCGGCATTCAGAAAGAAAGAAGATCTTGTAAAGATATGGAGGCTAAATTTAGACCCTCCTGGACACTTCTGAAGCAAACCGAGTACCTGGGGTGCAGAACTCCACTCATGATGGTCTCCCCATGCCAGCATTGGTATTGCCGGCTGCCACAGGCATTGTCTTCTCAGTCGAAATAAGTGTGGTACTGCACACATATAGAATGACCACTGGTGCCCTTCAGGCCAAAGAACGAGGCGTTCTCGTTTCCATCGGGCAAGCCCTGCATCGAAGGCTGCGACCTGTCAGGCTTAACAGGGGCGGACACCCGCTGGATACGTTCAAAACGAGCCAAGATACCTGCAAATTACGCAAAAAGTATGTCCAAAAAAATTAATTTGGGGGCCCCGAAAAAAAAGAAGATGAAGGTGGACCGACCGGTGCTCCACGAGGCTGTGGGACAGCTGGCGGCGAGGGCTTCAGTGTGGTGGGGGGAATGCTCCCCGTTTGCATTATGGACTCCAGCCACCTAGATCAAAACTGAGCCTTTTTACCACACTTGTTTGAGCAAAATATTTTTAAAGGACAAAGTCAATCTAGTGTTTGTGTGAAGGCCAGTGAACTCCCAGAGTTCACAATAATCATTGCCCTCTGTAGTCTCAATGCGGGTGGGACAAAAGTATCGATTCCATCGGCAACAACGCTAATCATCATTGATCCCCTTGCAAAATGAAATTATTGCTTTTCTTTTCGTAAAGTATGTGACCAAGTAAAAATCCCACACACTGGTCGCACTCATTTGCTCCCCGGGAGGCGGCTTCAACCTCTCTGCCATTTCCGTTGCGGTCTCCGGTGAACTTTTACCGGCGACAGGAAGTACCGAGCTGGAGTGGAAATGCAATTAGCTATGCATAAAACGGGAACATACAATGCTGCAGAGCGTTGCTCCTTATAGCCCAACGAGCCGCCGTGCACGAAGGTCGTCCTGGATGTAGCCATACGTTTAGCTGCAAGCAGGCAGAATACTGCTCAATACATAAGACTCTTTGGACTCCTAGCTACGGCTCCGCCTTTAGCTGAATGAGAAAGTCACCAAGCGGAACACTCCTGTGTTCATTTGGATGCAGTCATGCACGTTCCTCAGGTGTCCTAGCCCTTAAGTCCCGCCCACACGTGAATTCCTATATTCCTATTGTAGCCTGGCTCTCTAATGACGGAACATGGCACTCAGTCTGTTTGGCGTGGGAGCTCATTGCAATCTGAAGTGAATTCGTTTACAGCCCAGAGCTCCTCCTGTAAAATGAGTGTCCGCATGGTCTACTTCCGTCGAAAACATTCGAAGGAGATAATATAGAAAGTCAACGAAGCAGGCGTTCCCTGTGTTGCTCACTCAACAACTACTGCAGCCCGAAATGCTATAAGTCCAAACCAGTTCTACTGATAAGCTGCTTACTCCACAACGGAACACTCTCCTTTTAGCCGTGGGCAGCAAAAGCCAGGCAATGCCGCTGTTCGCTGAGTGTTTCAGGATAACGAGAACAGCGCCTGGACTTCATCTTTAATTAATGCACCTTAGGTTTACATTTGCAGTAATTCGTGGACCTCCAACAACAAGCAAAACAACAATCTGCTGCGTCGCGGGCCCCTGATATTTATGCATAGGGGAAGCTAAATGCTTAGTCAAAGGTGGGTTTAGGAACGCGGCGCCTTTTTGGGGGACGGTGATCCAGCCCAATAGCGTCTTGCACGTTGTAAATACCTGGATGCAGCCACAACATGCACAAGCAAAAACCCAGAAGGGCTGCAAATTGCCAACGTGTTCTGAGCAAAATGCTGACTAAATTCACTGCCGTGTGAAGTAGTTTTGCAACACCACTAAGGAAAGTGGCAACCAAACTGAAGAAGGAATCACAAATCACGGCTTGCCTGCTTGGTTCAAAACGCTCAGAAGTTCATCCTTAATTCTTCTAGCCACCACAGGTCCCCTATAAATCTGTGCAGAGCAAAAGCTGGTAAATTACGAAATTCCATTCGGAGGCGTAACCAACCCACCCTAGGCATCCCTTCCGCCTTGTACGATATATGTAAATAACATGAGGAAGTGAACAGCTGATCATGCACAAACAATGCAGCGGTGCGTTTGGTCGTACCATCGATGAGTACACCTCAACAGCGCTCGCGCCAGCTCTGATCCTCTCATACGCATCCAACCCCGTCTCGATGCCCCCACTCTGTCACAAAGCATATTCAAGTGAAGTAGGGATGGTCTATGGAATAAATCGCGCATTTCAAATAAAGTACTAATTTGTAACTACCGCTGCTTCTAAACCGTTCGTCGTGGGAGAAGAATAGCAACGAAAGCACTGAATTCCTGCTTTGCATTTTGCAAATAAGATCTTCAAAACACTTCGCTCACGGAGATAATTGCGACTTGGCCTTTAGTCATCTTGTACATATCTGAAACGCACTGTGTCGCCATAGCCTTGAGTGGCCTGCCGCTGAGTCCCCCAGTCTCCTTTTTACTTCTGCTCTGAAGGGACTCTGGGCGCTGGATCTGCACATACACATCAGAATTCAGGGTTGAAAAGATTGGCCCAAAGAACCAACTCTCCGAACGCCGAAACGAGGGCCGCAAATCAGTAGCTTTGGCCAAAACAAGGCCCTATGAAATACACCTTGCCACTGGACAGCCACTGCAGAATTTAAATCATCAACGAAGTTCACCAATTAGTGGTTTAGGGCTACATTCTGAGTCCTTACGGTGGTGTTTGTTACAACGAGCCCATCTAGACCTGTCTCCAGCGCCTGCGAAGATGTGGCATTCAGATATTACCGTGTGCGTATGCGCACTGTAACCACAACAATAGATGCAGCGTAACAGCAGCCGGCGGCACGAGACGCTGTGCAAGCGTTCCATGGAAGAGGCGAGTAGTTGAGTACATTTGGCTGTGAGCTTACGACATCAGCAATGTCCTGTTTCTCCTGTACCGTCAGATCTGGCTGTGAATGCAGATTCAAACAGGACAGCAAGCATGTAGGCATGCATGAACTCCGGGAACAATGCAGGCTGTAGAGACTGGAAGGTGGAACAGTTCAAGTGTCTAAGGCGCTCTTCATGTTTCTGAAGACGACTTTGACAGTACTGCCACAGCTGGCAATGGGAAAAAAGTGAAACTTCTCAGCCTAGGTGGGACTGATGCTGGGGCCTCAAAGCGCCGGAAACAAGAAAATGCCTAACCGCGATTTTGACAAACAGGAGAGGGCGCCTTCCTGTTTGTGTTGGAAAGAAATCAAGAGCCTTCTGCGTCATATCTTGTTGCAATTTGGCTTTTTCCTGTTCGGTGTCGTCGGGCTGGGAAGTTTTAGCCTGGTGCATTTTGTGTTCCTGCTCTAGCTTGTCCAGTTCACTTTGCGCCGCGGTGATAATGCTGCGGAGGTGGTCCCGTTGCTGCAAGGCACGAAGCCCCTGTGTGTTAGGGGAACTGAGGTTGATAACCAAATAGTCAGCAAAGCGACCAATACGTCTGATCCCTTCACGGATGTCTTCTTCCGCCTTTTCGGTGTTCTTGTTCTTGCCTGAGTCGATCGCATTCAGGCGTTCCACTTCATTGACTGCCTCTGATTAATAAGGCGGAAGGGTCTCGCCCGAGCAAAACTACTCACACCTACCTATGTTGACACCTATGACGCAACGCCGCGCCAGACGGTCATGCCATCGATCTTCAGACACCTTTTTCAGGCGAGGCTCCACGACGTCTAATCCCGCGCTGCAAAGACAGCGGACATGAATGCTGTATACACGTATCCACTGTGAGAATACATCGGTTACAACGTCCCCCATCGCTGGTACCCACAATAAGCACGACATCGCAATTCACTTTCACCTGAAGCAAAATCCGCCAAAAGGGCTGGATACAAGTTGAACAGGTCGAGTTCTATTTGTAAACCTCTCACCTGTTGAAGCCGCAACGATTTATTATTGCCCAGTCCTTCGCTAAACGAAATATGCGAGGCTTCGGATTACCGGCCTGGGGTTTCGGGGTGACAGTCCCGACTTCTACAAAGCCAAATCCCATTCTGGGGACAGCATGCATGCATGCGAAAAGTGCACACATGTAGCCTCCCAAAGATACTTCGGAAATTGTTGTGGGCTGCAACTCAGCAAAAGGTTCCCAGACTAATGGTGGACCTCCGGCGTGGAAATGGGCACGACTGGCTCACTTGCAAAACCCCAAGGGAGCCTCGGCGTCCTTATCGAAACCAGCCGCTAAACCGACCGGGGTGTGGAATGTCAAGCCCTTTATATTGACGCTGAGCTCTGGATCGTCCCTGCATCACATCGCTTTACTTTGTAGCTATCAATGAGTGACCAGTGTGCTGCTCCTCCCTTCTACAACACCATTGCATCTTCTCTTGCTAGTCCAAGACTCCAGCGGGTGCAGCCAACAACCAAAAAGGGGTTGTAATAAACCCCAACAGAGGAAACATGTCTACAGAAAGTTTCTGGGTAACTCAGGCAGGAGCAGCGAATTGTCCTCGTGCAAGCAGCTCTAGTGTTTAGCAGAGTCCCTTCTACAGATACGATAGGTGGCAAGAATGCTTCTGCGGCACGTTGCCAACTGGGACACGCCGCAAACACGCACTCCTTCGCGCTTGCATGCATGAATGCACGGGTGAAGAAGTACATGCGTACGGATGCAACCGGTAGAAGGCGTATAAGGTGTCGTAAATAAGATATTACCTTTCGAGATCATAGGGTAGGTAACCTCTGGAGGCCAACCACATGACAAAGTGGTGGGCCAGTTCTGGGTCTGGGAAATTGTCGGGAAGAAGGTCGTAAAGAAGCTCCAGAAGACCGTCCATGTGACGCATCAGGCCCGAGCCAACGTCCGCAGCGGCGTATGCAAGGTACATAAGCCCTCCACCAGCCAGAAGAAAGCTCAATAGGACCTTCTGAAACACCCAGTAAGCAGCTGACAACAACACAGTGCGTGCATTTGTGAATTTCCAGCTCGAATATCGCGCCTATGCGCCTTCTCTTGTAGATGCAGGCATCCCAGCATTCTGGAGTGAGTGTAACAGGCAAAGGCTTGGCCTGCACTCATAGAATAGGGGCTTTTGCGTTCCTGAAAATGGTGACTCATGGGGGATCATGTGAATGGACGCGACAGAGGCCTCAAAAATGCTAGGCGGTGCCAGTACCCCGTAGAAATTATTTCTCTTGATGAACTTCCTCCTTTGTTTTTCCATGTCCTCCACATCAATTTCCAGCAAACGGAATTTAGAGGGTCCAACAGCGTCATGATCTGGACGATCAGCCGGCGAAGTATTGCCAGTCAGAGGCTTCGCCACGATCGGCTCTGCCGAGGCAGAAGAGGAGGGACTCGAAGCGGTGGCTATGCATCGTTGAACGGGAGTCAAGAACGCCTTGTGTTCAAGAGGTAACCAGCGGAAAACGCCGGCTGTGTGAAACTCTGAAGATGGTAGAAGGACAGATCCGACGCGATTAGCATACGCGGTTGCCGGTAAACCTGACACCTTACTGAAGTTCAGCTTGAACTGTGGGAAACGCTGCGAGAGAGGTCCCGATCTTCTTAATGCAAATTCTGTGATTGTTAGATGCAACGGCCACCCAAAGGAGCGCAGGTTCCGGAGATTGTTGCGGGTTGCCTGGTTTCCATGTGTCCATAAATGCATCATCGTTGGCACTGGTCCACTATATAACCTTGGACTGAAGCAGGATCCGCCTTCTCATCGGGCGTATCTGCACCAACACACGTTGCCTGACAATTCGATTTCGTTTCTGTCAACCTGGAGGTCTTTTTCGTACTTCAGAAAATCGGAGGGCTGACCCTAGCATGTCTGTGCATGTCACCAACGAACGCAGTGGAAGACAGCTTCTAAAGAGGCCGAAAACTTTGTATATCTAACAACACCAAAATAAATATATAGAAAAATGCCAAGAAGAAATGGCGGGGTATTTCCGTTGCTGTGTAGAGGGCGATCGAGACCAGTCGAGGTTCACGGAGGCGCACCTGGGCCCCTCACTGAAATGTGGGCTTCTGTGGGCAAGCTGTATTGGAACCGGTTGTTCTGAATTCACTCTAAAAGCCTAATTACCATAATTTTGGAGGGATTTTCCTTCAGGCGGCGTAGAGGCGAGGTCCCAGCACCGGCAGCTGCCGGTCGCATTCGCTTACAGAGGGTATCCGCACCTTTCCGGCTGAAATGGTCCGAAAGGAGCGAGCCAGTTGCCCTTGCGCCGTCACGCTCACCCAAGGCGTTACCAGTGGAAGCACGTACGCAGACAGTCGAGTGCTACCGCCCAGTAGAGAGCAACTGGGCAGAGCCTCATGGAAGTTGCTGCATGCAACTGCAGCTCAGTTTCCAGATAAACCTGTGAGCGTACCTGCCACGCGTTACCTTTCGAACTATACTGCGCGCATGGTTTGCCAGGTGCCATGACCTGTACGCCCTCTGTATTGCTCTGTGACGGGGCGTGGGCACGTTTAGGCTCGCACCGGAGACAATCCATATTTGCTGGGCTTGTGTGTTTTGCGCAGAACGTGGAGGAGCGTCGAGCGGCGCTGAGCTGGTTGCTGTGTTTTTCGTGTCTTTACCCGTGTACTGTCTGCAGAGAGGCCTTCGTCCCAATCATCAGAAGCGATCCACCGGAGCCAACATGCAAGGAAGCTCTGGTCTTGTGGGCCTGCCGCGTTCACAATGCTGTTAACGAAGAACTTTCCCTCCCTCTTTTTAACTGCAGTGATCGTCGCCTCTTCATGCACAGCCAAAGCTGAAGCCTTTATACGCACAGCGAAGCATAAGGACTGCTCGGCTCTATTGCAAGTGTTACCTTACAGCGGGTTGTGGAAGAAGGTTCGATGTGCTTGCATGCTGCAGCAGCACAAGAACGCTAGGCTGCTGGAATTACCTCTGTGATATTGTGGCGCCGTATAGCGGTGAAGATGTCGATTTTTGTGGTTTCATTGGGCTTGTGCTACTGCTACGGGCACTTTCACGAGAACACATGAAGACTTGTAGTTGCTCTGTAGTTGAATACAGGCAAACAAAAAAAATGAAGCGCGGAGTGTTCTGTTACTGCACTCGAAATCGCCGGGTACCCGCTTGGCCGAATCCGGACCGCCTGCAGTTCTATTACGGTATTTCAGCAATATGGTATCCGTCAGTCTTAGAATTAGCCCATGTCGGCACTGTCGGCACAGGCGGCTGCGGCTGCCGCTGCGACACCAGACCCGCCTCCTTAAAGAAACGGGAGGGGTTTAGGGGATGATTTGCCTTATCTGCTAAGGGAGCCGTCAGGAGCAGAAACCGTCTAGCCCGGGTCAGCGCCACGTAACAAACGCGGCGCTCTTCCATGAGGTGAAAATGCTGTTCATTTCCTGAGGCTTGCCGCACTATGGTTGCTTCCGCCTGACGCAGCGCTTCAGGCTTTGGCGGTTTCTCAGCGAAATTTGAAATTAAACGACCCACAAAGTCCGCCAGCGGCTGGCTGCCACCTAGCCCCATCGGCAACGTCCTGCGGCGCATGCACACACGCCCTAAAGACAACTTGCGTATGATCAAAGATGCAATTATACTGAAGCCCACCGGCCTGACGGGGTTATCAGTACTTTGAGCTATTCCTTCCTCGTCGGGAAGAGCTGCAGAAGGGCGAACGGAGATGGTCACACCCTTCGTTCGCTCTTGCAACTATGACGACCTGCCACTCCAGGCCTTTGGCTTGATGAATAGTAGAGAGCGTAATAGCATTTGTGATACTTTGCTGTAAAAACCGCCCTGCATCAGCATCTCGCAACAGTCTGATGATGCAATCGCCTGCCGTTGCCTGTTGCCGGTTGGGTGAGTACGCCTCTACAGCTCGAAGGAAGCCGAGAACATCTGCGAACACTTCCGATCCGTACAACTTGGACAATTCCCGTATGGAGCCTTCTTTTTGGATATCTGCTCCTTTGATGTCCCCAAGAGGCTGGATGTCATCTGCTGCCGCTGCTTTCCTTTTGCTATGACGTGGTTTGCTGCATTCCGGAGTAGCAGCAGCAGGCGTTCCATGATCCTGCTGCCGAGGATTGACAGAATCAGCTGTGCCAGCCGCCTCTCCGCTATCTGGGAGTTCCCCACGGCGCGACCGTTGCGCAAGTCTTCGACGGGCAAAGAACTCCCCCATCCCTAGAGGGCCGAGCAAGACCTCCAGCAATGCCTTGACGGAAACAGCTGAGCCTGACATGGAGCGAAGTCTGTTGATAGACTTAACAAACGAGGCCAAAGACTCCACCTGATTTGTACGCAGTCGTGCTACCTCAGCTGCTGCCACTGCATCTGCATGCGCAGATTCTACCGGGAACAGCTCCTGAACTCCTTGTATCCCAGCGCAACGCAGCACGTGGCACAGGGCATGAAACAAAGAAACACGCAACGGAGTTTCCCTGGGCAGCCTTTGATTGCCTCGAGACCAAGGAACGTTTTGCCAAGGCATTTCAACTATGTTGCGGCAGTTGTCTGGTTCGCTAGTTGAATGGTTCCCGGATGCGTTCTGGACGCGTTTTAGAGCCAAAAGGGTCTTTGCCCCCACCCGCCGTGGTGGCCTGTTCAGCACGCGAATGAACGAAGCGTCGTGGTCCGGGTCGACTGCCAAACGAAGATAGGAGAGAAGGTCAAGGACATCTGGACGCAAGAAGATCTCTGCCCCTCCATTCCTCTTTGAACTTGTGCTGCTTAGAGGTAGTCCCCCAGCAGGCAACTCCAGATCCGCCAAGTCTACTGCTGGAAACAACACCGCAGGGTCGATAGGTCTATTGGGGTCGCCGGGTCCTAAGTTGTCCCTGCTGCTTTCCGAGTTGTCATTTACTGAGTTTGTGGAAAAGGGCGAAGAGGCGGAGCATGCAGCCCGTTGTATGCGGGGGTTCATCAAGAGGTTCTGTATGTCCAACAAGGCGCTGTTGGTGCGGCAAAGAATTGCAAAGTCATCCCACCGCAAGCTGTGGTGCTGCTTCAGACAGAGAATATACCTTAAGATGTACTGCGCCTCCAAACTGTGAGACGGAAGAAATGCCCCATGCACGTGGCCGCCAGCTGGCCCCTTATTGTCGCATATCCCTGCACCGCTTACTCCCGAACCCGGGTTTTCCCCTCTCACACAAATATTGGCACTGCCCTGCGGGGAGTAGTTGCAGGGAGGGCTTTCAAACCCGGGACAGTCATGTGAAGAGTACAGTGCCTTGGAAATGCGAAATGGCCAGTTAAAACTGACTAAAGATAAACTATGACGCACCACTGCGGGCACGGACCGGTAATTGCAAGCCAGAAAAAACTCTTGGTAGTCCGGGAAATTGCGTTTGAATTCGTGGAATATCTGAGTGAAAAACGAAACCGAGAGTAACGTAGAATGTAAATAGTGGGGGAAAGCCAAAGTAGGTAGTACAGATGTTCAGCTAGCTTACTGGACAGGGGCTACAAGGGGCTGCGGGACCTGTCTTACCCCTGTATGTGTGCCCCTCCACTTATAAATAGACTGGTCGTCATCTCCTACGACGGTAACGCCTCCTCGCCTCCCCGCACAGTTGGATAGGGCAGCAACCCCGCCTGCACTAAAGGTCGTCTGTGTGTTTGGAGGCCTTTGCAAGGCCAGAAGACAGATGAACTTGAACTGGTTGCTGTTGGTGTCTTGGAACTCGTCGACGACCAGGTAAGGCCACTGCGCGCCCAACTCGGCTCGCGTTGCCGGCCCTTCTAGCAGCTTAAGCACCTTAACGGTTAAATCAGTGAAGTCGAGGAGGGGCGGCTTCTGGTCCCTGAGGTGTTTGTCGTAAAGGCGGAACAGGCGGAAGAGCACCGAATTAGCCATCCGTTCCCGCTCCAGCAGCTCAGGAATGAACTTCATACTGCGGATTCTCTTCCGGAGCTCCTCCGCCTCCTTGCTGGTGGAAGAACTGAAGGCGGTGCTGTCCATGCTTTGGAAGCCCAAGCCCTGGGCCTCCCCCTCCTCCTCTGAGCAGGCGTTATCCTCCTCGCTGGACAGTTCAGGAACTTCTGGACTGCTGCGCAACGCCGCACTTATTCCTTTAGCCCCTGAGCTTCCAGCGCGCAGTGCCTCAGCCCGTTTTTCGTTGTCAATGAGATTCCGGAGTATAGATAGCTGCTGGAGCTGGTTGAGAACGCGGAAGTCTCCCGGCACCCCTATGTAGCCTCCGTAGCTCTTAAGAATCCTTACGAAGAAGGAGTGAAATGTCCCTACGAACAGATCGCTCTCACCGATTCTACTCACATCCGCATTCGCTCTGGAGGTGAACGACGATGCGCACTGGTCCTTAAGCACACCTTCGATGCCTCCGCGGATTCGGCGCTCGAGCTCTGTGGCGCTCTTTTTGGTAAAGGTCAAAGCAGCCAAAGGCCGACAACCTTGCAGCAACAGACCCACTATGCGCGCTGTTATTGTGCTTGTTTTGCCTGTCACCAGCGCAACGCAGCAACGCCAGCAGCCAGGACGCCAAGTGTTTCCGGAAGCAACATGCGTCTAATGCAAGACGGAAAGCATTCAGGGACACAGAAATCCGCGTCCGCCAACACAAAGAAAAGAAACGGACGGGTGCATGCTCCTGACTGAAACAACACGAGTAGCATCTAATATTCTGCACCGCCGCAGTGACGACTTATGTCAGACGACGTCTTCTGCTGCACACACTGTCTCCTCTACCATTAGTGTCCGAGCCCTACCTGCCCCAGGACCTGCAAGGACACATACACTGGACTGCGGGGGTGCGTTGACGACTTTTGTCTGTTCTGGGGACAGGGCCCCAAACAGCGTTCCGTGCTGTAGCAGGAGAGGGCGAGGGTTGCTGATGTTGCTGTTCGCGTCTAGTCCCCTTTCCTTTGTTACTGTCCGTGCAGCCGCTTTTGCTGTGTACAACGCGTTCTGGTTGGGAAGAATGCTACAGTTGGAGGCCGCGCCCAGTGGTGCTTCTGAAGCACATCGCTGCTGCTTCAGAGGCTTCTCACGATATAATGGGGGTGCACCACCGTCCAGCGCAGGCACAGACACCCAGCTGCACGGAGGATTGGCGTTGTCAGTGGCAATGTGGTGCTTTGGGGGTTGAGGACAAATCGGGAAGTTTGGAACAACAGCGCCATGCCGAGGAACAGAAGCGGCGTGTGCACTGCCGTCAAGGCACCAGCCAGTGCTGTTGCTGCCGCTAGTGTTGCTGTTGCCGTCAAGAAGGAAGAGTTTATCAGGGATCGTGTTTGTCGGATCAAGCGCACGATTGGGGCAGCTATTTGATTGACAGGGTTCAACAAACTTTTCAGAACTTACCGAAGGGCTCTGAAAGTGCACATGGCCATGGTTGTGCTTCATTTGGTCCTCTTGCTGGTGCTGCTGCTGTAGGTGCATATTTTGGCATTGCAATTGGTTGTGCTGGCGGTGCAGCTGGGTTTGATGCTGGTGCCGGTGTTGCTGATATTGCTGCCCTCGCTGGTTCTGGTCTTGCTCCCCCTGCTGTTCCTGTGGTTGCTGCCAATGAATTGGCAGGGTTGCGCGCAAGACGAGCCGTCTCTGTTTTCCATTGATATCTTTCGGCTGCTTCCCTAGGCAATGCCATTCCCAAGGTCTCTTTGGCTGTGCTGCGGAGTTGAAAATGCCATTACTGCTAGCTGAGGAGCTTTGAGGTGCTCCAGAGTGCAGGGAGAAGCCGCCCTGAAGGGCATGAGGAGGGCCGCTTAGCGCGGCTCCTTCTGCCAGCGGGTGGACTTGTGGGTATCTTTGTGCTTGGCTTTCTGTTTTTTGGGTGCCAGCTGTCGTCGAATGATTATTATTTGCTGATGAGAGGGCCGCGGAGCTGTTTATAGCACAATCTAAACAGGGATTGTGTGGCTTTGGCATTTTGCTTTGATTGTGAAGTTGGGGTTGCCCTTCACATACTCCGTAGCGGCCCGGTTTTGGCGCTTGGTGAGGGGCCTTCGCTTTACAGTAGGATCTGCTTGGTCCTTGGGGGGCCGTTGATCTTTGAAACTGTGCTGAAGCTTCCCAAGACAAGCTCTTTGCAATGTTGGGGGACTGCTGCAGCAGGAGTGCCTTCTGTGGACCATCTTTTATCCTGCCCAGAAGCCATCGGGTTGCTTGCTCAGAGGCATTTGCCCCTGATGATGCTGGAGCCGCATGATGCTGCTGAGACTTCGGCGGCAGCTGATGCATTGTGACCATACAGCCAAGTTATATTCTGCTATGCGACTCGAGTGTAGCCGCCATTCCTTTCAAAGCGAGAGCAGCGCACTTTTCGATGGGCTGCGGCGGGGCGAAAAGAATGGAGACGCAACAAACAGACTGGCCTTAATTTGAACTCACGGAGAACTAACCTTTTAATCGTGAAATATGGGCGCAGGCAATTCTAATGGCTCCAGGGAAAACGTGCGAGCATAGATGTTCCGATCGACAGCAGTGGCAGATGGTCGGCCTAGCACCAATGGAACTGACAAAAATAGATAGAATTAAGAGTTGGCCAAAAGTGTGCTGAGACAGTTTTACATTTTTCTTCAGTGTTTTGACAGAGTAGGCTCTGGCTGTTGCGTCTCGCGGCTGTATCACATGAGGAGAAGACGAGCAATAAACACAGTTATGCACTCTCCAAAATATCCTCCTGTGAGCCGCAATGAGAACTAAATGTGGCATGCATTGCATTTAGCCTTTTGCTGAGGGGGGTGGGTTGGGGGCCCCCCACCAGAACAACACCCAGCCCTACCGCGTTTCTGGTTTGTCTTGCAACGCTTGCTCGCTGAAATCATGCAGTGCGCCCATACCTTAAATTTGCAGTCTAAGTATGCAACTTCTGATCTTCAGTTTGACAATTCTTGTAGATACTGGTAGCGTACTGTTTTCACTTCCCGCAGGCGTGTGCCGGTAAACAGGCATCGATGCTACAATTGCAACAGAAATGTTCCGTTTCTGCGACGTATTCCTGCACACCAAGATACTCCATTGAAAAACTTGTTCAAAGGACTTTGAATGTAGTTGTTTTCAAGATCCCACGGCTCCCGTTGCCCGCCGCCCTCATTGTTGTGCCAAAGGTACTAACGACCTTGCCAGCAGCAGCTGGCGTGCATTAGTCACAGTGGCACTGGCTCAGCCTTCACATGGTATTGCTTTTTGACTCTTATTCATGAGGACTGTCCACTCAGGCCTTTTGCGCTTAGTCTGTCTCCCAGGTTCGGCCCGACCATCATGCTTATAAGGTTGTGTTTTGATGGATAAATATAACTACAAGCATCAGCAGAGGTTGCCTGGCGGCACCATTGAGGTTCCTTGACTGAGGTATCGGGCTCGCATGTGATTAAATATAATGACCGAGGCGATGTACTTAAGACGATACATGCGAGCGCATACCAGCACTTCTTCTGTGCACGAACAAACGGTGAAAGCCGCTTGACATGTGCATTACCCCCAGGAGAGAGCCTGGAAGGTTAGAGCACCAGTGGATACTGGTGCTCTAACCTTTTCTAGAGCATGCTATGCCTGCAATGTAGGAGAAAACAGGAAGTAGATGCCTCTCCCACCGTCCAAGGGGTAGTTGCGGTGCCGCCAAAGAGAATGGCGGATGTAAAGACGCCGAAGTTGTCAGATATGCTGCAAGACGAGCAAGTTTAGTTGTAAGCGGGCAGCCTTCCTGGGACTGGGTAGAGGAATCCCCTCAATAAAAACGAAGATTAGGCAGTTCCTTTGTGAGCCGCTGGCATACTGAGATTATTCGAATAGCGTTGTGTGAATTCAAACCTACGGGTGAGAAAGGGGAGGACAGAGTTTCTCTTACCTTGGACGCTGCAGTGTGTTCTGTACAATGATACTCCTTCGACAATGAACGAGGACAGCCGTATTGACACTGTAGGAACCTTCTAGATATATTAGCTCTAATTACTACTACTTGCTACTGCTGATAAGGCCCTTGCCTTCAATGCAGACGGTTGAAGTAGACGGTGCGGTTAAAGGCTATAGTAAAAGGTGCAACCCTCGAACATAACTTCGCTACGCCTGCAATATTTGGCTTCACGGCGGCAATGCACAGAACGCTGTACTCTTCACTGGCGACACGAACATTGCCGGAGATTTTGCCCACATCTCGGCAAAGGTGCTGAGAGAAATAATCTATACCTCTTTTAGCACGCTCAAGTATCTTGGTTGTGCTCCTCAAGGTTAGCGAACCAATGTGAACAAATAGAGGATGGCTATCTGCAACTCAGACGATGCAATTTCCATGTTGTGTCAAATGCAATCCCCGTATGGCACAAACCTATGGGAGTTTACGCACGTCCCGAGTTCCTGTCCTCAGCCTGCGATATGTGCAGCCCATTCGCACAACTCAGCATTGGTACAGCTTGCCTGAAGCCAAAGTAAACACCGGATAGTCAAGGGATGACTGTTTCTTCATTGTTCTCAGGGTACGGGCAGAGTGTGAAATCCAGGCAGAAATAGGCAGCTGGGCCAGTACTCACGCCGCGGGACCCGTGGGGAGAAGATAATGGTGTTCATTGCCTGCAGACCTGCCAACAGGACTGCCTGGGGCCCACGTAACATACGTGGAGCAGCAGTTCAGAAAAATCGGTAATTTTCAGATGCAGGGAGGTATATTTGCCTCATGCAACCCAAGGCCGTTGAAGACCCAACCCCTCAATTAATGCTTCAGACGTTTTTAGTACGCCGTGCTTCTTGCCGACTAATTTCCTCTACTCTCCTGTCTTCTTCGTCCCCTGCTTTCTGAAAAGAGTCCCAGCTCTCGATAAGATGCCTTTCGATATCTTCTTTACTGATTTAAATTCACCAGCATCTGCTGGAGTACCTTTATCATCTGGCTGTTCGTTTGGTTGTTGTCGACGGCGCCGTGACGGTTTGGGCTTTGTACGCTGCGCTTTAGCTTCTTCACGAGTTTTGTCTTCTCCATGCGTCGGCACTGCCTCAGGTGGCGTTGACTCGATGGGATGGTTTGCTTGCTCGCCCTCCTCGCGCTGATCGTTGGAGGCTGGGGAGACCGAACCCTTCCTTTTACCCTTCTCTCGGGTTTTTGATGGCGTTCTCCTTTGTGAGGTCCCATCAGCCCTCGCACTCTCTTCCCGATGCTTTGATGTCGGCGAGCGGCTACGGTTGTTCGGTTTTGCAGCAGTGGCAGCACTCTTTGTGGGGCTACCAGTTTCAATATGGGAAGGCGCCGAAGCGTCTGCATGGTCGTGGCTCTTTCCGTGCTGGCCACTCCTCTGTTCATCCGCTTTGCTTGCTTCGCGGGACCCCTGCCTGTGGCCTTCTCTGTGGCGGTTTTGCTGGGTATGACGGCGATGTTCTTTCTGTGGTGAAATGCTTCTGGAGGGAGACTCACCCCTGTGCAAAGGTGCTGACTCCTTCTCAGAACTTGCTGAGGCCTTTGGGTATTGGCCCTGTGCTTCTGACGATTCACGGCGGCCTCTCCCTGCTTCTCGCTGTCGAAGGTGCGGCAGTTGTGCTGAGGTTCTGCTGACCGCTTCTTTCCACACTGCAGCGGGGGCAATGCCTGCACAAGCACACACCGCACAACGAAACGGACGGTTTCCACAGGGTGCACACTCCCTGCTGGGCACCAAACGCCGCTCCTACTGTTGCTGGTGAGGGTTGGAGATATGCGCTTTAAAAGCTGTGGAAAACAACGGAGCGACTACCAAGGGCTACGAAGCGACGTTCACTCCAGCTCACCTCGCCGGGCAGCGTAAGCATCAAGCTTCATGCGCACGCGATGGACAACAAGCTCGTGCTTGTCAGATATCATGGGCGGGGCATGCGTAGAGCTCAATCTACCTAGACCCACTACCCAGCTAAAATCACATGCAACGCAGCGCACATCATCGCCAATATATATATATATATATATA